TACTGCTAGCCAACAAAATTGGCTAGAGTTGTTGGATTCTACACAGTTTTGCTACAATCTGCACAAATCATCTTCAACAGAGCTGAGTCCTTTTGAGTTGGTGTTGGGGCAACAACCCTTGACCCCAATAGAGATTGCTAGACAGCCAACAAAGGGGAAATTTCCTGCTACTGACAAAGTGATGAAGGACAGACAAGAGATTATTGACCAAGCTCAAGATAGCTTGCGGAAAGTAAGTAAGAGGATGAAAAAGTATGATGATGCTAAAAGGAGACTGTTAGAGTTTGATGTGGGTGACCAACTGCTACTCAAGCTCACTCCTCAGATTTGGAAGAAGATTAATAGCAAACGGGTGCATAGGGCATTGGTTCCAAAGTATGATGGACCGTTTGAGGTTGTAAACAAAGTGGGTGTTGTTGCTTATAGGTTGAAACTGCCGGAACGGATCAAGGTACATCCCACATTTCATGTGAGCTTCTTGAAACCATTCCATGCGGACAAAAAGGACTCTTTAAGGACCCAAGCTAAGAGAGCTCCTCTCATGATCAGAAAAGAGTTTGATGATGAGATTGAGAAGATATTAGATCATCGGAGGATGGGACAGCAAAAGAAGAATCGTCGAATTAAGTATTTGGTGAAGTGGAAAAGGGGGAAAGAAAGTGAGGTTTCGTGGGAAAGAGATATAGATTTGTGGCAGTTTGAGAACATTGTACAGGAGTACATTTCCACCATTCCGACAAGGCCGTCGGACTCTTCTTGTGGGGGTGGTTTGTAAGACTCTCAAGGATTCCAAGGGCAAGGGCAGGTGTGTGGCTTTCATCCTTAGCCACAGCCTTGCCAAGACAACATACGGGTGTATGCTAAACAAGGATGGGCGAGATTAGGTGTGGGGTGTTTTAGCGTTGGGACGCCAGGTACTCACTGATGAGAGGGCTTGCGGGTGTGGACACTTGCAAGCTAGAACATGCATGCGTAGGCATGTGTTAACATAGGTGTCGGGCGCCCATGGGCAGGCTAAGCAGAGGCACACAAGCTGGGATGTGTGCAAACATACAAGACAAACAACAAGTGGCTGAGTACATGCATGTGGCAAGGAGCAATATGCGTGGGGCGCATGTGGTCGTGCACTAGATGATGGGATGATCAGACAAGACTGCATGGTTGCTGGACAAGGGCTGTGGGACGGTTATAATTGTCTAGATAAACTTGTTTGTAAGCCAACTGCTATGTAACTGGTAGATAGGGTTGTAAGTGTTGCTGTAACCTCTATGTAACTATTATGCCAACATGTATATAAGGCAAGCAGGTTGTAAATTCGTGAGAGAGTGAGAGAGGGCAAGGGATATATGTGTGTGTGTATACCTTGTTGTAACTTGGGTGTTGAATCTGTGATTGGGATCAGATTGTGAACAATGGGAAACACTATGTGGGTGCTTGAGTTTCCTTGTATTCGAAATTATATAATATAAGGTTGGGTTTTCCTGTATATGTTGTGCAATATACTCTCATTAGCCTCTCTTGTATTGTGTTTGCTATTTGTAACAGGGATACGCACAACTTAAGGAAGGCTGACAAGTGCTTGGTGCGCTTGTGTCGTGCAGTGCCTAGAAGGGAGTTTAGGCCCTGTGACAGTGTTGTATATATATATATATATATATATATATATATATATATATGTTATGTTTGGAAAAGTAGGGCTGACGCATGACCCTATCAGCCAAGTGTCAGAGTTTAGGCAAGTCTAGGTGTCGTTCAGGTACAGTCACATCGCGCACTGACGCAAGAGGCGTGCTCCTACCAGTGCAGTAGGTGCGCATTAGGCTAACGAAAGGTTGGAGGTGATTCACGTGTCCAATCCCTGCAAAACTCAAGTAAATTACTCAAGCAGGTGAATAACAGGGAGCAATGAANTTAAGGAAGGCTGACAAGTGCTTGGTGTGCTTGTGCCGAACAATGCCTAGAAGGGAGTTTAGGCCCTGTGACACCACCTTTATTAGCAACCAAGGAGTGACTCAAACTCAAGACCTCTTGAATAATACACCCAAAAGTCCCTATTAAACCACTTGATCACCCAAGGATTGGTTAGAATCTATTATTTCTCTCTACATGTAGGATATTTTTCTTCTCTTTATGCTTGTTAACACACCTCTATAACTTTGTGTGGCAATACTTTCTTCCCTTCTTTTTTTTTTTTTTTTTTTTTGGAAAGGAAGGCTTTCTAAAATGGTAAAACTATTGTTCTAAAAAATGAATGTAAAGTAAAGGACTAAATTATATCTTACTATTTAACTTCGTATTTTTTTAGGCATCACATACTTGACATAATAATCATGGGAGATCCCTACTTTTCATTTTTATTACAACTCCACTATCCATGTTATTCACACGCTACAACCATTATTATGCAACTTTAACAATTAATTACACTTGTTTTCAGGCATTTGTACTACTAAATAAACAAGAGTAACAATTTTTGTGTGGGAAATCAAAGCAAATAAATCCTCAGTTGAAATAAAAATATCTCGCAATATAGATCCCATAATCAAGGTCGATAATCGTACAACTTTCTGTTTAAGCGAATTTGAGTTTATCTCCAACTCAACCTTGTAATGAGTACTATATAAACCCAACTATAACTTGTTTTTGAGGGATTCAAGAGAGAGAACTCGAAAAAGACAAAATCAATCAGATAACTCTTTGTAAATCAGATCGCTCATATCATACACTCAATAACATAATATTGGATGTAGGTTTTTAAATGATAAGCAGTCGAACCACTTTAAAAAGTCTCTTTTGTTCTTTGATACTTTATGTTTAATATTGCACATTTATTATCATTTATTCTATCGTTGATTCATCAAGATTATGCACATTTCTTATGTGGTTCTAACATTGTCAATCACGTACCTCTGGTTGTTATAAATATTTACATCTATAACAATAATATTAAACAGTAATGGAACTAGAAAACTATATTTAGAATATCAAAGCATGATGCTTAACAAACAGAGCAACCTAAGTATAATTATAAATATATTATTTTAAAAAAATTGCTTTAAAGGGAACTAAAAGTATAAAATTTGACAAATAAAAAGGGTCATGTTAAAAATAACTTTAAAAAACAAATACTATTTTTATGTATATAAAATCTTAATACTCGTAACCTAAGATATGGTCTTCTCTTTATTACATAAACGATATGATAATAAAATAATATTATCACTTAATTTGTATAAATGATATTACTCTTTAAAGAACATCGGTAATTTCGACATGGATGAACTTGAACTTGCATACCGTAATTTAGTATTGCATATAACTTTTAACTTCCTCACCATTAATAGTAGAGTTATATAGGAGAATATCCTCAACAATACTCCGAAGGATACTCTTGATCTTGCTCCTTACCAAACTATTTTCATTCTATATTTATAGCTCCACGTCAACAGTATTTGTTTTTTTTTTTTTCAATATTGCACCAAACCTTCCCTCTTCTTTTAATCTTTATTTTTTGATCCTTTACCTATATCACTTATTCATGCAAGACACCACCATTTGTTCTTAATTGCGTTAATCTTTTTTTTTTTTTTTTTTTAATAACTGAGAGTGTTTGGACTAGTTTACGTACATCTCAACTAATCTTCTATGACTTTAGAACTATCGGTCAGGTAAGAGCTTCAGTGATTACCCTTATTAACAATTGAGGAAGAATTCAAACTCAAGACCTTTTGATTAATATATCAAAGAGTTTCTATCGAATTATTCATCCACCCAGAGGTAATTAAATATATTAATCATTCCTCCGATGTGTACATGCCAATCAAGAAAATATGAATGACAATGACCCATTACCACAATTTTCAAAAATCAATTATGTCCGTGGATTTCTAACGTGTATTTTTCTCATTGAATTGATGTTTTGAACTTTAAAACTTACATAAATAAGTAATATGATATGGTCAATCGTTTTTCTTTTTACACAAACGCGTCAACTATTATTTAAGTAATGACTATATGATAGAATTTTAGGGTTTTCAATATGGTAGGGATTTAAAAAAAACAAAAATTAAACTACTCCAAAATTTTTAATAAAAAGAAAATCAATGAGAGACAAATTTAGGTAAAATAGAAAAAGTTGGAGGGTCATCAATGAAATTGAGGTGTCTTAACTCTTAAACTTCGTCTAAGTGAGACCCACAAAAAGTGTTGGATGCCAAATGTAAATTCCATCGTCTCATTTAATTAATTTAAGAATAAATTAATCATAATTTTTGTAGTGGAGCAGATCCCTTCCCTAGGAAAGTAGATTCCCCTGCACTTGGAACTCTCAACCACTTTGTTGTTGTTGTTGTTCTTCTTCTTCTTCTTCTCCTTTGAGTAAGTAAATTTCTTCTTTTTTTTACCTTTTCATTGCAGTAAAAATTGTTTCTTTTCAATGTTATTCTTCTCAAATCAACAATATAAACAAACCCTTTTCCTAGCTTTTAAAACTTTAGACAGATCAATGAAATCATCACCAAATATGAGCACCATTATAAAATGAATTAAGGGTCTTGTATGATCTGATCTAAAAGTTTTTCTTTAATAATATGTTACAGGTGTAAAACACTAAAGTTTTAATCTTGAAGCCAGAAGATTCCAATCTGTAGAGTATAAATAATGTGAATGTTTTTGGAGTTATGTACTAATTATTATTCATGGACTGTTGTTCATTATTGCATCTCCAGTTGGCGCTCTCTCTTTCATCAAGTCTTGCATCAGTCATATGAAAATAGTCTCTAAATAAGAGAATATGAATATTAAAAAACTCATTTAAATAAAGTTTGAAACTTTATTATCAAAATTTGCTTTTTCTTTTGTTTCATGATGCAATAAAGAAGGTTGTGAGGTGAGAAAGATTGATATTATGAGTTTATGACGTTAGATTGAAAAACCAATACGTGCAGGACAGATAGAGAGGGTGAATAGGCAGGTGTCACAAATGCCCAAGGCTGTTTTCTTTTTTCGCTTTCATCTCTAGGAAATGAGAACATCTCCTTTTCTGTATTTTTCTAATTTCTTAATTATTGTGAAAATTCCCATCACTGAAAGACCAACTTTTTGACATTAAGTGTGGCAATCTGCAGCAACTGTTATGGACTTTGTGCATCTGATGGTACCTGAAACTCTCATCTAAAACTTCTGCTTCTTCCTATAGGTAATGAAATAACCACTCTCTTTGTTTTCTTATTGGATTTGGACATCTGGATTTCCCTTGTTTCCCTTGTTTTGTCTTGGTACACTTGTCTTTTGTGTTGTCGAATACATTAAAGTGCTTTGCTTGATGGTTTTGAATCCGGGATCTAATAGGTCTTATTCTCAGACCACCTAGTCATTTGCCGCTTCATAAAGGTCACAAATTTAAAGATTCATATTGTTGCTGAATTTGTTGAATTGGGTCAGCAGGAGTGAATTTGATTTATGATCTGTGATTTGGGTTTGTCTTTTCAGGTTTCTTGGTGGAAGTTTTGAGGGGATTCTAATAACTGTTTCTGGGGAAAATGAGTGGAGCTGTGCTTGTTGCTATTGCTGCTGCCATTGGTAACTTACTGCAAGGATGGGATAATGCAACCATTGCAGGTAATTTTCTCCTGGATGCATCTATTTGTTTATTACACTGTCAAACAGTGTATTGCTTTATATTAGCTCAACATCCAAATTTGGGTAATATTTGGGTGAGACGTGGTCACTTTTATGCTCATAAATAACTTAGTTCATCTATCTATGATTTTATTTTGCTTGAAGGGGTAGTCCGTCAAGTTTCATTTGCTTGAACTATTGATAAGAACAACTTTTTTTTTCCTGAATCATAATGGAATGTACCCACCTGGTCGAGTTCATGAACAATTTCTGTTTTTGCCGCAGGGGCTGTCTTGTACATTAAGAGAGAGTTCAGTTTGGAAAGTGAACCCACTGTTGAAGGGCTAATTGTGGCTATGTCACTTATTGGGGCCACTATAATTACTACATGCTCTGGAGCCATATCTGATTGGCTAGGCCGCCGTCCAATGCTAATAATCTCATCTATCCTCTATTTCATTGGTGGTCTTGTAATGCTATGGTCTCCCAACGTTTATGTCCTACTTCTAGCTAGGCTTTTGGATGGATTTGGAATTGGTTTGGCGGTTACTCTGGTTCCAGTATATATATCTGAAACAGCGCCTCCTGAAATAAGGGGGTTATTAAATACGCTTCCGCAGTTCACTGGTTGTGTTGGAATGTTTTTCTCATATTGTATGGTCTTTGGAATGTCGTTGAAGGATTCAGCAAGTTGGAGATTGATGCTTGGAGTTCTTTCTATTCCCTCTCTCATTTATTTTGTGCTGACTGTATTTTACTTGCCTGAGTCTCCAAGGTGGCTTGTGAGTAAAGGGCGGATGCTTGAGGCTAAGAGGGTTCTGCAGAAGCTTCGTGGCAGGGAGGATGTCTCTGGTAGGTTTTCCTGCCGTGATTCTTTAAAAATAAACAGCTTTTTTGGCCTTGGGATGCTGAACTTGATTTACATGGGGTGTGAGCTTTTAAGGGTGGGATTCTGTTAATATGGGACCTTCCCATTTAAATATGAGCTTGTATTGTGTGCTAGTTGTTGGGTGTTTTCTTGTGTAAAATTTGATATAAGTATTATACAACCTAAGCTATAAACTAGAGCTCTTTAGGTTATTTTATCTCTGCTTACTGTTGAATATTGTCCCAATTAAAATCTGGAGTTTTTGCGATAATCAATTTTTTTTTTTTTTTTTTTTTTTTTTTTTTTTTTTTTTTTGAGTTTCACTGTAGGGATTAGTAAACCCGTATTCTCTTTTGTGTTACATTCTTCTTCCGAGGCCATAATGCCTTGCACATTCTTTAGTAGCTTAACGTCAACCAGCATATATTTTCTAGGTGATGGTTTGTGGCTTCTGAAATTTTACTGGAAGGTGATGACTTATAGTGAATCTTAAATCATTTTTCCTTTTTTATTAACTTAAAAAATAATAATAATAAATAAAAAACTCTCTACTCTTCCAGTCTAGCTTTTTCATTTGTAATGCATTTTCTTATAATGATTTGAATTTAATTTTGGATACTTAATGCATATGCCTATTGGTATGATGTGGATGTATTTGAGATTCATGAAATCAAAACCGCAAGTATTCAAAGCTATATTGATGCATATGTCTATGACATCATTTACTGATCTTCCTCAGATGAACAGGTGAGATGGCTTTACTGGTTGAGGGACTTGGAGTTGGGTGTGAAACATCTTTAGAGGAGTACATTATTGGTCCAGCCAATGAAATCGTTGATGACCAGGACATCTCTGCTGATAAAGATCAAATCAAATTATATGGGCCTGAAGAAGGTCTCTCTTGGGTTGCTAGACCAGTTACCGGACAAAGTTCTCTTGGTCTAGTGTCCAGGCATGGAAGCATGGCAAACCAGAGTGTGCCTCTAATGGATCCTCTTGTCACCCTGTTTGGTAGTGTGCATGAGAAGCTCCCTGATACCGGAAGCATGCGAAGCACACTATTCCCTCACTTTGGCAGCATGTTCAGTGTGGGAGGGAATCAAGTTAGAAATGAGGAGTGGGATGAGGAGAGCCTTGCTAGAGACGGTGAGGAGTATGTATCTGATGCTGCTGGTGCTGATTCTGATGACAATTTGCATAGTCCATTAATATCCCGTCAGACAACGAGCATGGAGAAGGACTTGGTCCCGCAGGCCCATGGAAGCCTTGCAAGCATGAGACATGGCAGTCAGGTGCAAGCTGGAGAGCCAGTAGGTAGCATGGGAATAGGTGGAGGTTGGCAGTTGGCATGGAAATGGTCTGAAAAAGAAGGCCAAGATGGAAAGAAGGAAGGAGGATTCAAAAGAATTTATTTGCATCAAGAGGGTGCCCCTGGATCTCGGCGTGGATCTATAGTTTCTCTCCCAGGTGCAGACATACCTGCTGAAAATGAATTTATCCAGGCTGCTGCTTTGGTTAGTCAACCAGCTCTTTATTCCAAAGAACTCATGGAACAGCATCCAATTGGACCAGCTATGGTTCATCCATCCGAAAAAGCAGCACAAGGGCCAAGTTGGAGAGAACTATTTGAACCAGGAGTCAAACATGCATTGGTTGTCGGGGTGGGAATTCAAATACTTCAGCAGGTAACACTTAGAACCTCGGAAGAATTGGCAAACTTTTGTTTCTATCACTGGAAAACTTAAATCGATGCCACGTGTTTTTAGCTTACAGTATCCAAACTGTGAACTCGCAGACCATGAAGTTTTTTGTTTCTATTTTTAGTTTTTTCTTTGAAACAAAAAATTACAAATTTGAGGTATATGCTAACCTTCTATGTGTGGTATGGCTATTTTCTAGTTCTTTCAATTTTTGTATTACTTGCTTCTTAGGGGCTTTTATTTTTCCTCTCTTTTTTTTAATGCAGTTCTCTGGCATAAATGGGGTTCTCTACTACACTCCTCAAATTCTTGAGCAGGCAGGTGTTGGAATTCTTCTTTCAAATATGGGCATTAGTGCAGCTTCTGCTTCACTAATGATTAGTGGCATCACAACCTTGTTGATGATTCCATGCATAGCTGTTGCCATGAGGCTCATGGATCTTTCTGGCAGAAGGTATTTTTATCTTCCTCTCCATTTGTGTTGTCATGAAAATGGTTTTTGTTGGGCTGCTGCAAAATTTTTCAAGGCCGTGAGGCTTTCTAATGTTTATGCTCAGAAGGAAATTTCTTAATTTATCATTTTGTTGTCCCTTTCTCTTGGCATAGCTCCAGTCTTTGAATAAAATGTACAAAAATGTCTATGCTGGTCTTGTGAACAATACATCATGTACTTACCTGCCTAGAATTAGAATCAAATGAGTTAATAAGGTACCAAATCCATCCTATCCACATTTAAACATGCTATAGATTGATGAAGTGGGTTTGAGTTTGGTTTGCATTGGATGCTTTATATTTTTCAGTGTTTTAACTACTTCCTTAGTGCAATTAGACATGCACATTCATTTCTGAAACACACTAATATTCATGTTCTGTGAACTAAATTGATTAGGCTGCTCCAGAGATACCTCTTCATCACAAAAGAATCACATTTGATTTTTAATAAAATATTTTTGCAGTTGAATGCACTATGCCAGTTCCTCATGTCTTAGCATTAAACTTCTATAACCATTTTCTTGGAAAAATCTCTAGAGAATATCAAACTTGCCTGTGTTTTTTAAATTGTTGTATGAATTATTGCCAGCCTATTGTATAATTCCCTGATCTGCAATTAGTGATTTCCTCTCCTTCTAACATTCAAAATTTTGAGGACTGGGGAAATAATACTTGAGTTAGGCCATGTTGTGGTTGGTAATCTTCATGTGCCTACACCCTTGAAATTTTGTGTCCTGTATGTATGACTACATTAATGCTGATTTGTTATGATACTGAAAAACACCTCAAAATGCTTGAAGTCTTTCCAAAATAAATATGTGGGCTGCTGCTTCTTGATTGCAAAAGAATCTGGTGTCAAAATGAATAGTTATCTGCATCTTCTTTTTGTCTTTTTTTGGGTATTATGTGGTTCACTTTCAACTAATTTGTCTTTGTTTTTACCACCCATTTCAGGACTTTGCTGCTCACCACAATCCCTATATTGATAACATCACTTGTCATCCTGGTCCTTGGAAGTGTCATAAAGATGGGCTCTGTCGTGCATGCATCAATCTCAACAGCCAGTGTTGTTATATACTTCTGTTGCTTCGTCATGGGGTTCGGGCCAATCCCTAACATACTCTGTGCAGAAATCTTCCCGACGAGAGTACGTGGGCTCTGCATTGCCATATGTGCACTCACGTTTTGGATTGGTGATATCATCGTCACCTATTCACTCCCAGTGCTGCTTAAATCTGTCGGCCTTGCTGGTGTTTTTGGCATGTATGCAGTAGTTTGCGTCATATCATTGGTGTTTGTCTTCTTGAAAGTCCCAGAAACAAAGGGCATGCCCCTTGAAGTGATTACTGAGTTCTTTGCTGTTGGTGCAAAACAGGCTGCTGCTGCCAAGAGCGACTGACTTGGTTATTGAGGTTGAAAGTTTTGACAGATGTTCAAATTTTCCGGGTTCTATTTGGGTTTTCTTTTAGGTATTGAGAGGTTGATTTTTGTAAAAAAGAATTATACATTTTACCATTATTATTATCTTTTTTTTTTTTTTTTAAATTGACATTTTTTCCCTTGTGTGTGCAATCTTTTAATAAATAGTTTAGTCATTAATGACCAAAATGTCATACTTTTCCAAGTTTAGAGATAACACCTGTGAACAAGAAAAGATTGATATTGTGTTAAAATGTGTTCAATGGTGCAACTGCAACCAGAAAGGATAGAGAACCTTACAAATTCTCTCTTTGAGCCCCATTTTGACGCATATAGTTGTAAACATATCATTGATTCAATTTCTTCCCGTCTTGTGAACTTGTTCAATGTGAATACCCACCGGTAGCCACAAAATGCAGGTTATTCTCATCGTTGGCTATAATACAACCATGTAAATGCTTCATATTACAAGGTTCACATTTTAGATTTATAAGTTGCACGTTATAGCTCTACAAGTTTCTGTGATGTACTGTAAAAAAACCCCATTTTCACAACTCAATCTCGCTGGGCAGAACTGAGCATAACAAGAAGCCCAGTTCCAGGTTTTTGGTGAACTACCATAGTCTCAAACCTAAAAGTACTTTCTAGTATCAGGCGCTCTAGAATTTAGATGAGAAAGCAATGAATTTCAATATTGTAGTAATGGTCCAAATGAATCAAAACTGAAAACCACTGAACAAGGAGGAAAAACATTCATTCATCAAGAACCCCCACTTGATTTTACATTGAATGAACGATTTAACAAGCTTATTACCCACCTCAGGAACAGCTAAAGCACACCCAAAGAAATTAAAATTTTGTTCATCTGGGAATGCTACCAACAAGCCTGGCACCAATTCTATCCAATCTCTTCACCACAGCCACAGCCTTCAAGTTTCCATCTTTCCAAAACGCCTCCACCATCCTCTCGCCAATCGCCTTCCCCATCTCTTCATCCTCCACCACTGCCACTGCCGTCGGACCCGCCCCACTAATGGTGCACCCAAACGCCCCAGCCTTAATGGCTGCCTTCTTCACCGCCTCCATTCCAGGTATCAAAGGAGCCCGTTTTGGCTCCACAATCTTATCCGAACTCAACGCCTTCCCCAGCCCCGCCAGATCACCTTGCAACACGGACGCCACCAAGGCTCCGGCCTGGCTGCAGTTCCACACGTGGTGGGGCATCATCACTTCCGCCGGTAAAGCCGCCCGCATTTTCTTCGTGGGCGCTTCAAATTCCGGACTAGCTAACACGAAAAATAACTCCTTGTTTTGCGGAAAGCTCAGTCTCATTAATTCTAATGGATCGTAACTTCGAACTAAAATGAAACCTCCCATGATTGCGGGAGCAATGTTATCCGCGTGATATCCGGAGACTTTGGCTTCTGATTCCAATCCGGCCAAAACCAACTCCTCTGAATTTAATTTGCTTCCGAACATTTCGTTCACGGCCACTGCAGCTGCGGCGGCACTCGCGGCACTGGATCCTAGCCCCGATCCTAATGGTAATCCTTTTTCTAAGGAAAGAGAAAGACCCACCGATCGTATGTTCAGCATTTTCATGGTGGCGATGGCGGCGATTCCGGCGCAGTTCCAGAGAGGGTTTTTGCTGAGTTTCGAGTGGCCGGAGATTTCGGAGATGGAGATTTCGCCGGGGTGGACAGAGGGGTCAATGCGGAGGGAGACGTAATCGCCGAGGCCGTCAACGGCGCATCCGAGGAAGTCGAAGCCGGGACCGAGGTTGGCGACCGTGGCGGGGGCGAAAGTCTTGACGGAGGTGAAAAGGGGATGGGGTTCGGTGGCTGTGGTGGTGACAGAAGCGTTGCATTTGAAGATGGGTTTGTTGGTGTTATTTTTAGGTTTGGGATTGAAGAGGAGAATGAAATGATCAATGGATTTGAGTTTAACGGGAGATGAAAAGCAGACAGCCATTGTAGAAATGAAAAAATGGGTAGGGCTTCAGAGGGAAAAGAGAAGTGATGACAATCAGCAACTGGTGGGTGAACAAAACCAAAGCCCTACTTGTACTCTTGTAGGGGTGTAATAGTTAGCTTTTCAAACCTGTGGGCCTCATTTTATTTATAATTAGGGGTCGGAGATTTTTTCCAATTCTATAGAGCCAAAACCAACAAGTGAACCGTTATTTAAGAACTGAAGCAAATTTACTCAATCAAGGAAAAGATTTTTAATTTTTATATAATACAGAATTTTGGCTGAAGAGATTCTATATTTTGTCAAGTAAAAATGTTACAGAGACCCTGTGTCATCATCATACTTATCATCTCCTACACTGAACATTACACTTTGTATGGACCATTAAAGCAGCTGATAAAACCTACAACATAGCCACTCCAGGTGACAATCAGAATCTGGAAATCTCTACATAAACACAAAAGCAAACCCGGCGGCTAATTTGCCCCAGTATTTCTGTAAGACTGTCTTTCCAGAGAGATATCCCTTTGTATTCTTCTCTCAGATCCGTTTGGTGATTCAGTTTCCTTCCCAAAACCATTCGATGACAGCTCCTCGCGTTTTCTCTTTGACTTACTCTTCACGTTGTCCACCTTTTCATCAGCAAATGATAAAAATGTTTGAAGGCGTCCAGAACGAGAGCTGCTGCGTACAGAAGAATCAGTTTCTTCAGGGCCATACCGTTTGAACTGGTGTAGCATCAAACAGAAGTATATGACGAGAGCAATAAAACATGCAATCCCAGATATTAGGAATAGCCCCCAGAAGCTTCCTAATTCAAGCTGTTCTGAGTCAGCCTGAGAGCTCTGTGAACTACAAGACTTCTTTGACAGCCACTTGTCATGGAGCTTCTGAAGTTCACCATTCTCAGATAGAGTGAGAATTGCGGTTGACATATCAATTGCTAATGGAGAGTCTCTTGGGAATGCCTGAAAACACAAACAACAAAAAATCAATTGCCATTAAAAAAAAGAAAAACAGGTAACATCCAGCAGAAGATAGAACAAATCCAGTCACACAAGTATAATTAGTTTAAATCACAGTTCCTCGCAGCTTGAACATTATGCACGTGATCATAGTGGCAATTTCAAATGTTTCTACTTAAACTACTCAAGAGGATGAAAATAAAATATTTTTCAAAAAATCACTAGTTCCAACATCTATTATCGTTGGTCAGCTTGTCCTGAGGAAAACATGGCAAAGATACTCCTATGGGTTCTAGTTTTTGTATTTCCCACACCTTAACAGCAATTAATTTGGTGAAGAAGAATGGACAAACGAAAATTTGAAATCATTACATCCTCTACAAATACTTACAAATCCCCAGCCACCTTTCGTGAATTCTTGACCTCTAATTGAAAACTCGCAGTGGTCTGAAAGGAAGAGGTCCACATATGGTCGTTCATCAACTAAAGCAGCAACAGTTCCATTCTGAAGAGCGAGGGCATATTCTTCAGGTGAGCCAAGAGCAACAAGTCTAGATTCTGGAATGCTGAGTTCCTCATGCAGATAGTTTTCTGCAAAAGACCCAACTTGGAATCCTATACGTTGATTACTGGTAATCAAGGTATCAATTCCTTTAATGGGTGAAGAAAGCTGTTGCACTGTGAGGATAGATGTCAGGCTCGCAGTGTAGCTTGAGTTTATAATCAGGACTACAAATAGCCAGATGATCAACACCAAGCGACCNAAAATTTGAAATCATTACATCCTCTACAAATACTTACAAATCCCCAGCCACCTTTCGTGAATTCTTGACCTCTAATTGAAAACTCGCAGTGGTCTGAAAGGAAGAGGTCCACATATGGTCGTTCATCAACTAAAGCAGCAACAGTTCCATTCTGAAGAGCGAGGGCATATTCTTCAGGTGAGCCAAGAGCAACAAGTCTAGATTCTGGAATGCTGAGTTCCTCATGCAGATAGTTTTCTGCAAAAGACCCAACTTGGAATCCTATACGTTGATTACTGGTAATCAAGGTATCAATTCCTTTAATGGGTGAAGAAAGCTGTTGCACTGTGAGGATAGATGTCAGGCTCGCAGTGTAGCTTGAGTTTATAATCAGGACTACAAATAGCCAGATGATCAACACCAAGCGACCAAGTGTACTTACAGTGTTTTCCCCTGGAAACATAAAAGAAACCCTTCATTGGTATGACTGGCAAGAGAAAATTATGAGTTCTTGCAAAATTCACCAGAAAGATTGTATTTGGAAAACTTACTGTGGGCGAAAAACATTGTAGAAAAGCTGAACCTGCAAGACAAGGAGACAGGGAGATGAGGAGTTATGCAAAGCATAATGATAAAACTTTACAAATCAAGTATGCAGGGATGCAAAATATACTTTATTTTAGGCATATAGAGGAAAGGGGTGATGGTAGGTTCAAGTAAGTGGGAAGGGGCAGAGAAGAGAAACCTCTGTTGGAGTAAGAATAGTATTTATTCTCAATATCTTGAAAACTTCTTAACTTAAGCTGCCCAGGAACTTCCAACTTAACTTGTTCAACATGATTTGTTTCTTAAGAGCAAGTTCTTTTGAAATCATATACTTCATATGTTAATGGATACAGTATAAACACAAAGACGCATACGATTGTGCAATGTACCATCTACTCACCATAGAACTGTGACAAGTTGTCTCTTAGGAGGCCCTCTGAATTCATCATTTATTCTATGCTCAAGGATCCAAACAACTGTTCCCACAATAAGGAAGAAAATTCCGGTGACTGCCCACATCCATGGAGTAAAGGGGCGCAAAAAAGCCCAAGCACTCGAATTCAACTTCCTTACTGGGGCCACCACAACCAGGCCTGACTCTATATATGGCTGGGTGAAGTCTACAGTCCTTGTTCGGTTTGTTACAATTGCAATGTCACCCACAACAGCATCAAAGACCTACAAAAACAATATTACAGAATTGGTAGGAATTATGCTTACAGATTTGTCAGTGGCAATAAGTAGAGCAACTTATTTTACTCACCCCAGTTGTGATTTTACTGACGAGTTCGTTGTAGCTTGGGTTATTATGGCCATCTCCAAACGGAATGAATCTATGTGGAACTGCGTATGGAAGCAATTTTATAGCAGCAATGAATACATCTATGCAATATCCTTTAACTACATCAGAAGTATTGACTTCAGAAACAAAATCTTTATAACTAACTCGGTTTGGGACTCCAATTCTCAATTGTCTTCCATTGTCTGGAAAGACCCAACCACGAGGCCTTGATGTTGTTCCCCCAGGCCATACCACACTGTTTAAATGTTGGCTCGAACTAGAACGATTAGGTGGTTTTGCATAAAGTATCTCTGGTAGCACCACAGACAGCCCAGAATAGTTGGACCAGTAACCAATTTGCTGGTACCCATGTTCTATTACATTAATTATATCAAATGAAGGATGTAAGAGGGATCTGTCAGGAAGAAAATGAATTGGACCAGTCAGACCTGTCATATTGCTTTGCAGTATGAGATCACGGAACCGCTTCCCTCTATCAAATATGCTCAATGCACCTAAATTCAGAGTCCCTCCTGCTAGACTATTTAAGCTTGAATCATTGGAGAATGAAATGGTATTGCCCTGATCCAAGAACAATTTTACGGCACGGGCAATCAGCCAAACTGTATCATAGGCATATAAACCATAAGGATTCAATCCAATAGAGCCGTTACTCAGCTTGTTCCACCGAGATATAAAATCCCTTTTTCTTTTGGAATCTGGTGTGTGTGGGCGAAGTGTGAGAGCTCCTTGGATGGAATTTGAAGTATTCGAAGGAAGCGGTGAATTCGAATCTAAAACAGTTGATAGCCAAGATGAAGCTATCCAAACATATCCAGTATCCATCATCCCAAGTCTCTGGGCCACTTTGAAAACCAAGAGACCTGTTTTGGAGAAGGTATGTAGAACAAGCACTCGAGATTCCATCATTCTAACCTTAACTAATTCCTTTTCAACATCACTTTCAGTGGCTGTTGGATCAGGGGGAAGTGCTGCTTTGAAGGAAATTTTGCAGCGTCTCTCAGAAAGCTTATCACCTAATATAGTTACACCGTTTCGGCTCTGATCGTCATCACTATAAATTGCTATTACCTCTTCCCAACTATAGTGACTAACCATCTCCGCAATGGCAGTCATCTGGAATAGATCATTTGGTGCTGTCTGAAGAAAGAAAGGGTATTGAAGAGGTGACAGGGTTGGATCAAGAGCTGTGAATGACAATAATGGGACTTGGAGTTCATTGGCGAGATGAGAGATTACATGGGCCATCACGGCATTTTGTGGACCAATTATAGCCACAGTATCAGTCTCCATGAATTGCAATGCTGTGACCAGAGAAAAAAGTAATATCATGAGTCTAACCACTTAGACCAGTTAAATGGGTTTTTTGCCAAAAAAAAAAAAGAGGTAGAGGGACAAGACAAACAAAACTAAGCAGACTGAACAAATAACAGGTACTAGGAAAAATATACCTCCCATGATGCCAAGGAATCCACTGAAGTTGGAATCATGCATTTTTATAACAAGTTTCCTTCCACCAAGGATGCTGGGATCAGAATTAATATCATCCTGAGCAGCTTGCATCGCAATCTTTGAAACTTTCCCATTAATAGTTCCAAATGAGAATATTGCTCCAACATTCACAACGTCAGGCCTTGAAGCCCCTTCTAAGGATGTTTGAACGCAAAAAACAAAGATGGACACGAGCAAAACCAGGTTCATGATGATGCTAAATGATGAATCAGAACACCTCGCTTCAAAAAATAAAACAGAGCACGCATGTCCAAATTAAGTAAATAGATTGAACAACCAAAATTCAACTAAAATCATTAGCAATAGAATATTAGAGTTTCAAGAAACTTAAACCAGAATTAGCAATATTGTCATTAAGAAGATAAAGGCAGTACCATCAGAACATTTAGAGATAAAACTACGATTCCTTGTCCAAGGCAAGTACTTATGCTAATTAACCCAAACACTTAAAGAAACCAGAAAGCTGACAGGATTAATTACCTAAAGAAATTTACAAAAAGAACAACACAAGAAATGCCCATTTAAACAAGTGTAGTAATTAAGCAAGCCATACCCGCCAAAAATTACAAATTCAGAATATTTCTGGTTATCAGGAGGAATAAAAACTCACCACAGACCCAAACGGAGGCCAATTGAAAGGAACCGAAGGGAGCTGCAAAATATGCCTTAAATACGAAAGTAACTTATGAAAATGGAAAGATACCAACAAAAAAACAATTTTTATCTAGAAAAAGAAAATACTCACAAAGCAAAAGCTTGAGGGGTCACAGGAAAAAGATGCCTCCACTTAACACACCAGTGTTCACTTTTCAATATCTTAATTATGGGAATACTTCAACAAAGAGAAAGGGAACAACTTGTTAAGTTGGGTTTACACTTGCTCACCCACGTGGAAAAAAGTTTCACTTTTGTTTTCGATTACTTATCAAGCAAAAGTGAAAGATGAAATCTTTAAGAAAAATGGAAAAGAGTGAGAAGAGATTAGAGGAATCAGAGGTTTAGCTGAAAATAAAAATAAAAAGAGAACTATAGTTTGAGAGAAGAGAGAGAGCATGCTGGCAGATATGGGAATCACTTGAAAGTAAAGCTAGTGGCTCTCAACTGGTGATGCTGACAGAGGGCACCATGAAGGGTGAAAGAGTTGATAAATAAGAGAATAATAAATAAAATAAAAGAAAGGGGTTTGTTAGTGTTTTAAGGTTTTGCTATTGTTTTACATGATAATGGAAGATGATGTGTGGATGATGATCAAAAGTGATAAGGTGTTGAGGGGGAGAATATAGTTAAAAAAACATGTGAAGAAGATGTTTTTGGCCAATTCAGAGGCATTTCAAGTTTCGGTTTCAAATGTAAAAGGGGTTGGTTTGATGACGGAAGCTTGGAGGGGCAACAGGTAGCTCACTATTTGGGCAATTTAGACAAGATGCCTTTGTCTGTTTTTTATACAAAAGCTGTTCAGGTGGGGCCAATGTTAAATAGTGGCCTGGTTGGATGAAAACGAAATAGACTGCGATGCGAATGTAGCTTTGTTTTAGGACTTGGGCTGGATTTCGAATATAGCACATGTTGTTTATTGTTCATTTTAAACAAAAAAATATTTTCCTGATGAGGTGACCAGCAGCAGCCGCCAAGTTGAACGACATGGAATTCAAGGGCGGTTCAAGACTTGGGATAAGATCATGGTTTCTTTCATAAATGCAAACTCTAGTATAAAAAATGATGGTACTTTTTGTCCCAAAGGTGGTTGGTGGATTGGGATACACCAGTTCTTGTGTCGCGCTGAAATTGTGGCAAAACATGTGTCATTAATTAATTGAAAATGCAGTTCTGTTTAGCATAAACAAATACAGATTCACAATACAAGAAGAGAGTTTCAGGTAGGAAAAAACCATTAACTAAACGACAATTTTCAGAACACGAGATTAATGGCCAGAAAGCTAACTGCAAACTCAACTGGGCACCAACTGAAGTGGGTCAAATAGAACTTCCACTCTGGGTCGTGAAATATCATATGGTCAAAAAACATGATTACTGAGAATGATGCTTTGTAATGGACTATGATTGTTCCTCGTCTTTCTATCTTTGCAGGATCTAGTGTAGCTTTGAAATGGGTGCATTTTGCCACGTTTTTTGCGTCAAATTTATGATGTGCTTTGAATACTAGAAAATGTTTTAGCATAAGAAGAAATGGGAAAATCTTATCTTGCACGTAAGTGCTTCTGTATTACCCCTTCGTTGAACGATACAGAGCACAAAACAGTGAATCTAAAATGTCTGAACTCACGATTTTAATAACTATTTCCTGATATTTCAAATGAAGACATCACTGTTGTCAACAGTATAAAATCAAATGTTCTACATCTCCAAAAGAAAAAGATTCATAGCATACTTTCCAAAAAGCCAAAAAGTGCTTCGGGATAAAAACAGGATACTGGAGCAGTATACCAAAAATTTTCCGTTGAGGGTCTTATTAGTTGTTTGACCATACAATCAAAAGCCTGCTTCATCATACAATTTGTAAAGGCATCCGGCTCCACCGCAGGGACCTTGATGTTTTCATGTAGTCAGTTGCATCCAAATATGCCAAAAATATCTCAATTGCTTCTGGCTTAAATGTTAAAGCCACCATGTTTACTGTAAAGAGATAGAAAAGAATGTGGAAATGATCTTCGGGTAATTCAAATAGACAAATCGAAAATTGATTTTCTTATAACTATGCAATCTACGCTGATTTCTTCGAATCTTTTATGATATGGACTTCAATATAAACCCCTCCAGGGGTGAGATTAAGGCTAGAACAAGACCTGATAGCTCACCAGCAACATTAGTGTACGCAAGAGATAACACCATTGACAGACATCAAATGGATGTAACAAGCCTACCTCAGTCAAAAATCCTTTCTCCAGTTGAGAAGGCCAAAAATATGAAGGAACTAATGATTGAAAGCAAGGCTGGTATGAAAAACACAGCTCTCCAGCTTTCTGGACTTGAAAGATCTGAATAAGTAGTTTTCGCAGCTTCAAGAAGCTGTCCAGTCATATCAACCCCAATAATGCCAGCTAATGTACCAGCTGTATTAGAAACTCCCATTACAATTCCTGCATATCTGGGAGCAATATCCATATGATTTACAGCAAACCCAGCTCTTCCCAGTGCCAAGAAACCAAGAGCCACAGATGAACAGAAGATCGCACCACCAGAGGTTCTGAAGAAGGGAAGTGCCATCAATGCAAGAGAGGAAACCAAGAATCCTATGGTGTTCAAGAACTTTCGGGTCTTAGTCACAGACATGATTCTTTTGGTGATCAAGTGGTCAGCAACCACCCCACCAATATTTGAGAATATGAACATGTTTAGATAAGGCATCATCTTGGAAGAACCCATTTCCTGAAGACTGAGCTGCAGGCCCTGCTCAAAGTAAGTTGGCAGCCAGTTCATCAAGACATATAAAGCATAATGGAACGTGAAATTATTAATCACAATTGCCCAAATTGGTAAACTGATTAAAATTTTCTTCCATGGGATTATAATAGTTCTAGCAGCACTTCCTCCGTTCTCCATTTTCGTCTTCTGATTACCTTTGATCGGCAACATTGATTCCCCAAAACCAGCAGCAGAGGCTTTTGCATTCTCAGACCGAGGAGGGTCACTGGCATATCTGATCCAAAGAAGTGACCACAAAATACCCAATGCTGCTTCAGCAAGAAATACAGATTCGGGGCCTTTGTATTTCACCAGGCTTGGAAGTAAAAGCATTCCCATAGCTGCACCTAGGTACATCCCAGAAGTTGTAAGTGAAACAGATCTAGATCGTTCATGAGGGGGAACCCACTGAGCTAGGACAGTGTGGATGGAGGGAAAGATGAACCCTTGTGACACACCAACAAGCAAGCGAGCCACAACCAAGATAAAGGGTCTATTGGGATCTAGTGGGACCAAAAAGCAAGTTGATGACCATAGTACAAACGAGAGAAGGAGAACCTTTCTTCCCCCTATTCTCTGAGCAGCCCATCCCCCAGGCACTTGAGAACAGGCATAACCAATGTAGAATGTAGAAAGTATGGTACCTTTGCTTGATTGATTAACTCCAGCAGCATCAGCCGCAACGGTATAAGCAATGGAGAAACCCACACGCTCTATATAGCAAACACAAGTGCTAAGGAACGTTAAAATGACAATCAGATAGCGCTTCGGAAAATTCATCAAACTCATCTGTCAGCTTCACTTGTATACTTAAGTATTTATATTTCAATGTCTTCCAATCAGCCACTTTTTCAACAGCTGACAAACCCAATTAGCAAGCGGTTCAAAGAAAGTAACCAGGAACTTCACTACTTTGGACAACCTTCAAGATATTAATGAAACCTGAAAAGATAAATCTGTAAAATTAATTTTAAAGATACAAAAATGAAGCAAAGACCAAGCAGATAATACTCTTGGATAGAATAAAATAGATATTGAAAAAATGTGACAATTGTGTAGAACTATGCATCTAACAAGATACTGGTTAACGGAAAAGGTGAAGGAATTTGCAGCTGAAACATGAAAGGGCCCCAACCAGAGTATTTCTATATAAAAAGCCAGCATAAGCCAATTGATTTAGAGTAATGCTACATACACAAACCCATCATACAAACTAATTCATCCACTTTATTTATTTTTTTCATTTATCATTAATTTTAAGCCTTCCAATCATAATAACACATCAAATTATATGAGTTAGTTTGAAAAAGGAGTTGTACACATAGTATTATACATTTGATTTATTCACTCTAACTTATTCACTTCTTTCAGATGGCCAACCTATAAAAAAGTGATTCCAGAAATCCATTAAACAAGGGTGCAATGACCATCAAATAAGCTCTTTGCATGCGAAGGGAGAATCATCAAGCAGTGTATATATTCTTAGCTGTATTTTTTAGAGACTTTCTACCCTCAAATGCACAAATTCATCAGTAAAATCTCTTGCAAAATGAAAAAGAGAAAGAGAAGGTCTGTCTCAACTAGCATCTAAAAAGTTTTCAAAGCAAAACAATGAGGAACAATGGTGCAAAATCCCTAATTTCCTACATCAAATTTCCCTAGAGCAGCATGAGATGAGGTAATTTACAGAACATCATCGAGTACAGTATGAGCATTTTAGAAATGTCCAAATATGGCTACTCAGCTACGCTTATCCCTCAAAATCAATAAAAGAGTACAGTAACAGCCCCTTACATTGCCAAGAATCAGTTGCTCTCCCTCTTCTTTATCCGGAAAGAGTACTCAACCCCTTCTACAGCATGCTTTCTGCACAACATAAGAAGGTTTCTACACGTGGTATTACCATCCACTAATCCTGCAATTACATTACGATTTTAGATTCCTGAAGGAAGATGTTACCTTTCTTGTGCGGTGCTTGCTATGTCATTGCTTATTTGAGTATAAACGAGATTCTACATAGCAAAAAATAATAGATTAATCTCTCCAACAGCTCAAACCACACATCCTAGGCATAATACATCCATTCCATACAATTGAAGTTTGGTTCACAGAATGGGGGGAAAAAAAAATTACAAAACTTGATATGAAACATATCGTAGATAGGAAGCTACTAAATTCCAAATACTAACTCTGAAGCCAAAGAGCCCCATCTTAGTGCGGCTGATACTAACCACAATTTTGAAAGTAAACCAGAATGCATAAAGAAGTCCAACATTAACAAACAAAATACATTAATCTATAGAGTAATTCCCAACTCAAACTATATAGTAAAATATCAAACATTGTGTTCATTCATCTTTTTTCTTCCCTTGTAATGCTAATATTGCACAAATTATGTGATTTTGCCCACACGAGCAAGCCATCTACTGAGTTTATTGAGCATGGGGAAGATGGAAGTCAAAGAGAAAAAGTTACACACACACATCAACTAGAAACACCCAATTCGAGGCAAATGAAAAAGATCTCAAGATTAAGAGATCAAAAAACCAAATTTTCCTTTTTCACAGCAATGACTCCATAATTTTGAGAATTAAAAAAAAAACCCAGATGGGTATCCTTGAGATAAAAGCATAAAGCAGATGAAAATGCAAAAAAAAAAAAAAGAAAGAAGAAAATTAACAAGAACCCAAGAAAGTGGAGATGATGAAAACGTACATACCTTAAACAGTGGAACTTTGCATTTGTTGGTCTGACAGTTGGAAGAGAAAATGGGGGAAGAAATGGAAAGAACCCTAAGAATGAGATAGATTAAATGGTAAAAGTTTGTTGCAAGTCAACGTGGTGGTGGAAGTGATTCACTTGCATTCACTTCTCACAAACTCAAAACTCAAACCCAAAGAGACAGACGGTTGAGGTTTAGGCTCATAGCCTCTCTTGTTTTATGACTGTTATGTAATGTTCAATTATTTATTAATAAATTTATCTACTCATCCAATCAAAACGACCCACCACCGCCATTTGACTTGATTGATTCCCTGGATCTGTTCAATATAAAAACGGAGGTGCCAGGTAAAACCCACATTTGTTATTCACGAATTCGGGTATTCAACTGGAGATATACTATTTTAAAAAAAAAAATAGATGTATATTATTAGATGGACATTACCTTATTTATATCCAAACACCATAATATCTAATTTGATCAAGAACTTTCTTAGATTTTATTTAAAATAATTATCAAGTTTTCTACTTTCATATTTTCTTATATTCCACGTTTTACTCTTTAAAATTTAATATTAGAGTTAACGAACTATTTCTCATCTAAATAATAGTTTAATGATGCTTTCTCACCCACAGATTTTTAAAATATTGTTTTACTAATCAAATTTATATTCCAACGGCAAATGAAGAGCAAACTCAGTTTAAAATGTTAAAACTTTTGAAGAGAAGAGGCCGATGAATCTTTTGGTGATAGAAGATTGAATTTTAGTGATTGAGATTGATTAGAATTTGATTTGGAAAAGACAATTACACAAACCTTAATCGTTTGATTATTGACAATTGACAAGGATCAATAAGAGTATAGTTTGAAAAGTTTCGATGAGTGATGATCCAAAAAAGGAATAATGGTGATGTAAAAATGCAACAATATCAGAATCGGAATATAAATTTGAGCAATAAAATAGTATTTTAAAAGTAAATGGATAAGAAAATATCATTAAACGATTATTTAAATATAGAAAAAAGTCGGTTTACTCTTAATATTTCGACAACTTATACATATATAATAAATTAACAATTGGAACAGAAAATGGCCAGATAGGCCAGTAAATGAAATAAATTAAGCACATGCTAGGTTTTCAAGTGTAAAAATAGATGGAGTACAGTTCGATTTGAATCCCCATTTCTATAAAATTTTAGGTACATTTTGTTCAAACCCTTTGAGATCACATCTATTTATGTTACATCTTTACAGATGTTAGATGACTAATTTCACGTATCTCTCAACAAATTTTGGTTTTTGCTTTTACATCTACATCTCTGGCAAAATTACAAGCCAAATTATAAACTACCCAAAACTTTTCATAAGCTACAAAATTGATCTGTTTTTAGTAAATCACAACCACGCAAAAAATGCAGTTCATGCGCATTCTATTCACTGCCGTTTTGCAGCAGTGTGATTATTTTCTTCAGAAATGTTTGTGACATTCCCAGCATTATTTTCCTTCGTTTCCTCACATTTGAATGTCCACCCAGCAAAATCTGCATCTGAAAACAAGGAGATGGGTGTCGCTTTGTAGAACGCCAGCGGGACCTGTTTAACCCTTCGCCTAATCTGCAATTTGGAGCACGCAAAATTTTGAGAAATACTTTATTCCCCAATCTAGCCCAACTAGAGGAAGAGTTAGAACATCTTCGGGTAAAACAATTCAGGGAATCTGGATCGGATTTTGGATCTGATTGAAGATTTAAAACCTATCTCCAACATTGAGGAAAAAGCATGGCAGACAAGGATACGCTAAAGCAGTTTTAACTGTCCAATAAGTTACAAGAGCTATTATAAGGTGTATTGACAACAGCTTGACCACCAAATTTTATCAGTTGCGTGACAGGACAAATCAGAAGTGACAATCAGTGGAAGCAGACAGGTTTTGCATTTATGTTAATACATAAGAAGAAATAATAATAGAACCTTGGCAAATTGACATAGAAATGATAATTTTACCTCATCTCCAAATATTGTTGCATATGAACCAGAACTAAAATCTCCAACATTTATTTCAGTGGTTTTGGCTCTAACCGTCAAATCATTCTCCAGTGACAAAACAAACCTAACCGCAGATGAAATTTAATATTAAGCATAAGCATTAAATATTTCAGGAGATTGTATGTGGCATGTGTAATAGTCAGGTATCAAGCATGTACCTTGATACAGGTGGGCAGTAGTGGTGACGAAGGGTGTCAATTTCCCAAAGTGAACTTCCTGTTTGAAGAATTTTTCATTTAGTACATAAACTTAAAGATTAGAAGAAACGAATTTCCACAATCAAGTAAAATATAAACACATTGCATAAATAAACCGGACAAAAGTAGCCAAGAAAAGAAGTTGGGTACAACTGTGTGTGTGGAGATGTCATCAGCAATAAGAATCAATTTGTTGACTTTTAAGAATTTATACATAATGACAAAAAGTAATAATTGTCATTGTGATCCATGCTTAATCAAGGCTCATATGATGTATTCCATCCACTATTCAGTATTCTTCTTTAGTTAAGATGTTTCCGTAACTTAGCAAACCTTACTGTTCTTAGAAAAGGGACCACGATCTTCCTAGTTCATCAGCTCAATATATGGATGGCATCACTAACAAATTTATACAATCTAGATGATTATTTGTTCAATGATGAAACATTCAAAGTTGCTCTGTTCTCTGATTAGATCTGCTAGTACTAATAAAAATTTTGCTGAGTCCCAAAATGAAGATATGGTTAAGCAGATGATTGAAATAAGAGGTGCACGTGGACAAAAGTGACATATGAACACCAAATAAATGGCATCCCAACTGCCTGCACTCCCCAAGTAGGTGCTAGTATATCCGACTATAGAATACAAGAATTCATAAAAGTAATTAAAAAGAATACTCACTCAAGGCACCAGACTTCACAGGATTACTCTCCTCATTGTTGAAATGATCAATGCCAGGTTTTTGGCCAGACATATTTGTCACAGTTTTAGAATCATCTGCACTATCAGCACTCTCCTTCTCAGCTTTAGAATTATCTTTTTCAGTTTCATTGCCATCTTCCTGCTCAAATAACAACAGTTTCATTTAAAACATGCATAGTGTGTCATTCAATTCCATGCACAAAAATGTAGCTGCGATGCAATTAAGAAACCAGAACAAGAACAAAAAATTTCTTAAAGTAAAGCTGAAAATATAAGGTTGCTCGGATTTATGAAACTTTAACCAAGATCAGAAGAATTAATTAGACAGATAAAAACAATGGTAGTAAATATAAGAATGGCTTGCTACCTGATGCACCAAACAGTTGATTGAAGGATGTCTCCGCAAAAGGTTGTGAATCAATGCTATAATAACCAATGCTCCTGAAGGAGGGACTGAAAGTGCCAGTCTACTTAATTTTTTTGCAAAAGCAGCAGCCAAATATGCTGGAAGAAGTGGTGACTTCAGGCAAGAGTCAAGAAGCTGCAGCAAAAAAATTTCACCTCAACCAATTTTTCCTTAAAAAATGAATTTACACTTCTAAAGGACCAAAAAATTATTAGTTGATATTTAGTGTCAACTTCACATGAGATCTGTACTGAACTACTTAGGAATTTGCAATACCTGAAAAAATTTGGCCCTATGTTTCGCCATAAAGATAGAAGGTGCCAACAGGGCATAAAGTTTTTCATAGAAGTTGGGGTACTCTAAACCGTGTTGTGTCATGAGAATGAAGAGACTACTAAGAGCCATGACGCTAACAACACCACCAATGTCATATGATCTAGTTAAGAAGTCACTGCACATTGTCGATAGTAGGTGAGACAAAAGATGTTGTATCTCAATAAAGAAAAGAGATTTTTGTATGTCAATTTACCATAACATGAGGGGATTAGACAGATATGGAATAACTGCCTGGTGGAGGGTAACAAGAACCTGTGCATCCAAAAGTAGGGAGGTGAGAAAAAATAATAATAATCAAACAGGACATAAAAACATATCTTGTATCAAGAAATGGGGAAATAAATGCTAAAGAGAAATCATCCAGATATGATTTTGAAATATTTTAAAAAGGAACCCAACTCAGAATTTATGAATGAATATGATAATAATCCATGACCAGAAACAGTTTGGGTTAAACAGTCTTTAAGACAGATATAGGATTCATTGTATAAATGTTATTCTGATAGATAGAAACAGACTGGAAGTTGACAATTTTGTAAATCAATAAAAATAGACACCAAATTTTAGCATCACATGTTAAACTATCCACGCTCCTGACTAGAGTTTAGCTTCCAGTCAAGTGCAAATGAAAGCCATAAAACTTAGTTTCTTTGAAGAATAATCTCAATTCTTAAAATAGTGACAAGTGTATCAACTAAATTCAACCCCCCTTTGCTTTGCAAATAATATGAATACATGCAGAGTGAGAGCTGTGAGGTTTACCTCTTTGTATATTTCAACTGGAAGTGGTAACCTAAGAAATGAAATCCAAGCTTTGGTGAATTTTAGTTTCATCTTTTTGGCAATGGTGGCAGCAGATAACACCTGAACATGCACAAAGTACTCAATAAAAAAAAAGCCTGGAAAATAAAGGATAAAGAATCTAGTTCATTGAAACAAATGAATTAGAAGCATAAATGAAGCTGATGGCATGAAAATCTTTTAAGTAACTAACTGATGATAACTTACATCATTGTTGTGTTTCTCAGTCTTAAGCTTTCTATGTTCTGCTTTTGACAGCTCCAAACCTGCTTTAAGATCACCTTCTTTGGATGAAAATCCTAATAATACACCAACAAGAACACTTTAACTAAAGGCATCCTAATCAAGTAGAAACTAAACCCTGGAAAAGACAGGAAAAAGTAGAACATCCTCAATATTAAAAGATGGCAGGCAATCACCTGATCCACTCCACATTTCATGTTCAAGTGTTTCTTTATTGCCCTCTGGTGATGGAATGTTTGCTATAATATAATGTATCTTGTGAATGGAAAGCTCTATGCTGCCAGAAAAGAGCAGTTATTAAGTTTGTTCTGTAAATTACTTCTTATGACAACAGTTGAACTAGAAAAATAAAAAGTTCACAAAGCCCAGTGAAATAATATATTTTTAATGTTAGTGCTACTTGCAGCTAAAAATTGGCAAAACAACATATCATGAAAACCAACCTTGCTCTTGGATAACTCTCGACGTTGCCATCTGCACTCACAGTTTTATCATCTAACAAGGAGAATCGAATCAACTGACTGACAAAGCCAATGAAAAAGAGAAACAGACAAATAATAAAGAAAAAACATAACAAGAGGCACAGCAGCTACATACCGGAAATATCTTTTGCCTCCAAAGTGCTAGCAAGCTTCTCTAAACTGATATAGGTAAAATAACTGTACCAAGAAAAAGAAATTAAAAATGCATATAACTTGGCTTTTGAAAACGTCATAAAAACTGAAGTAACCATTATTAACTCTCTACCCAGTGCGACAGAGTCATAACACTTGAAAACATTCACTAGAAAAATAAAACAGAGTTATTATCATACCGAACGTCAATGTACTTGAAATACTTTGACGCTAGCAAATCTGTAACAAAATCAACGGACTCCGGATAGTGGACCTGCCGATGAAAATAATCACGAACAATCAACAATAAACATTACTTTTACTCCGGAGGTTTGTCTTCGAAGCAATATACCCCAAAATATTTTGGGGAAATACAAAAGAAACCAACAAACTTACAATAGAATGAAGCAACTTATGGTATATAGCAGAATGAAACCTTCCACTATTCCCCAACTTAACAAACTCCATTAGAGTGTCCAACACAACCTCCTAATAAACCAATTCAAACAACACAAAAACATCAAATTCAAATATAACTTTTTTTCCAAAACAAAATATTCAGAATCACTCAGAACGAAAAAAGAAAGATAATAAAAACTCACTCTCACAGCGTCCTCTGATTGTGGCGCAACCAAAACTTGAATAAGCGACTTAACGAGCTCATCGAACTTGGAACGGAGCCACGTTTTGTAAATGAACTCATGGCCGTCCTTCGTAGAGTCTTCTATTTTCCTTTTTTTGGAAGAAGAGGGAGGAAGCTGCGGCAAAACAGGAGTAAAAAACGACTGTAGAGAGAGGATCGATTCAAGAAGGTGCTGCGGCGGCGACGTCGGAGAGATGAATGTGAGGAGTAAAGGCAAGTTATTTATGTGTGTTCTTGATGATAGCAGTTGTTGCCCTAGCGTTTTGAGCTCTTTCAGCGTGTGCTGTTTTTGCTTTTTTGATAGAATTGACGCCATTGTTGAAATTGCTCAAAGCTTCAAGCTTGGAGGGAGAGACTGAGGCAGTAGATTATTAGGTTTACTTTGAGTCGTTAAATAGATGGGCCGGGCCGGGCCCGGACAACTTCAGGCTGAGTTTTTTATTTTGCTCAGATCCAGGCCATTTACAAGCCCGGATTATTTCTAAAATTACGGACACATGATACTTCCAAAGCCAACCACCTCTGGTTGATCAAGTGATTCTATATGGACTTTTGGGTGTATTAATCAATAGGTCCTAAGTTCAATCTTTTATTGATTGCTAATAACGGTAGTCATCGTCAGAACTCTTACCCGACCGACAATTATAATGTCTCGAGAGATTAGTTGAGGTGAGAGTAAGCTAGTCTAAACAACTCCCATCATAAAAAAAAAAAAATAATAATAATATACATATATAGATATTATATATTTCCAGGGTCGGTCCATTGCGCATATATGCTCCCCTTAACCCTGATACAATTGTCCAATTCTAGTTTTGGTAATTTAATTTTAAAAATATTTATAACAATTATCTTATTCAACAAACATGACCTATACTTCATGAATTATTTTTAGTAAATCAAACTGGCACACAACCAATTGGGATAAAGCTTTATATTTCTTTTCAATCCTTTATTAATTACACACCATATAAAAAAAAAAAAAATTAAATCTGACTTCTTCATCCCCAGCACAACCATTAGGAATACCCCTAATACATGATATTTACTTGTTTCTTAATGGTGTAAATTTGCTATCAAAAAGGAAGGGATTAATAGCAGATACTCTGTTTGATAGAAACAAAGTACCAATTTACAGAATGGATATTACTAGCTACAATGAAAGATTAAACTCAACTTCACATTGACAAGGGAGAGGGAATTAATTATCATATATGAACAATACTCAGCATGATTCACAAGAAAATGCCTCTCACTTTTAACAAATAAATTTATCAAAATTGGCTTACACGAGGCGGGTGCTGATAGCCATGGTTTACACCATTTCTCGCGTGAATTGGAGATCGATAAGGCAAAGGCTGTTGGCCTTGTCGCTGAGCAACAGGACGACTTGAACGATGTCTAGGTTCTCGTGGCTTTTCATTAGATGCTTCGAGCCGTTCTAGTGTCTCGAGTACTTCTTTCATTGCAGGGCGATGTTTGGGTTCAGTTTCGAGACATTTCAGAGCAAGCTGAGCAATTTGGTATGCAGCTCTAGAGGGATATTTCCCCTCCAACCTAGAGTCCATTGTGTTCCTCAACTTTCTCTTTTCAGATAAGTATGGTTTGATCCAATCAACCAAATTATGTTGCCCACCTGGACGGTTTGTATCCAACGCTCGTAGGCCAGTTAAAATCTCCACTAATACAACTCCGAAACCATACACATCGCTCTTTACATACAAGTGCCCTGTTTTTAATAAGCAGAATGTTAATGTCATTGCAAATGGCTAAAGGTAAAGATCATACCAAAATATATTCAGAAGATTACCTGTCGCAACGTACTCTGGAGCAGCATAACCATATGTGCCCATAACTCGCGTAGTGACATGAGATTGACTAGCTGAAGGACCCATTTTCGCTAAGCCAAAATCAGATATCTTGGCGGTATAGGACTGCAATAAAACAAAATACTAAGCAAGTTAATTTTTCATGTTTAATTTAATGACATCTTCTAAGAATGCTTCCTAGCAATCAAAGATTATATATGAAGTTGAAGTTTACCCCATCAAGCAGTATATTTGACGCTTTGAAATCTCTATAAATAACTTGTTTCTCGGATGTATGCAGGAAAACCAAGCCTCGAGCTGCTCCTATCGCAATCTTTAGTCTTATATCCCATGGCAATGGCTGAACAAAAGAGCCCCCTGAAAAGGAAAATATTGAGTTTGTTGAACCAGATTAAAAAATATCATAATGCTAGAAAAATTAGACATCAAATCATGGCTATTAGCACTTACTTCCAAATAGATGGTTCTCCAAGCTACCCTTCTGCATAAATTCATAAACAAGCAGTAGCTCTTTTTCTTCCCAGCAATATCCCAACAACTTTACAAGGTTAGGATGGGAAAGCCTTCCCAGGAAATTTACTTCCGACTGCACCGGTAACCAAACAACTTTTGAAATAATTAATACCGATGTGTTAATAAACTTTAAACTTCTTTATGTTTAAGAAAACTGGTGAAACAGGAAATTAATTCAGCAAATGCTTATGTGGTTATGCAGGTAACACATCAACCAAAAGTCATAGCTATTAGATTGATAAGTTCATCATTAATAATGATCTACTGGGTATACAAACTACAACAGTACTTTCCCATTTACTCTCTTTCAAATGATGCTGAATTGAAAGCACTACAAGAAAAAGCAGGAGGTGCAGGTTGATTATATGGAAACATCTTTGTCTTTACAACTGTAAGGGATAATGTGAGAAGATAATATACAATTCTTAGAAGTGGCTTATCTCTTAGTTTTCATGATATTTCTTCCCAGAAGAAGAAAGATATAAATTGAAAAAGGTAAAAGTAAAACAAAAGAAAAGGCACTTTGGAGTTTTGGACCTATTGGTGCCATTTAACTTCAAAAAGCACCATCACTTTCCACCTTTTGGGTGTTACCCATGTCATATTTTATCCAAAGAACATATCAATTTTCCACAAGATAACCAATTTTTCTATTGGCAGGTTGCCTTTATTGATTATTTTTTAGTGCAATAGAAACAAATGTTACCTAGCAGATGAATTCCACCAAGTTGCAAACATCTTTTTCAGTTCTTTTGATGATTAAAGTGAGCATGATCTTATTATTTTACATCAATCCTATCTTAGGCTATCAAGGAACAGGAGATGCACATTCAATCTCCTTTTCGGCATCTTCTTAGTTTGTTAGAAGAGTATTACTACTATCCATTATAATCTCCTGCTCACAGCTTGTGCATACATCTAATATACCAATAATATTGAACATGAATATTTAAGTTTAGTTGGGTCACCTGCCACTCTTCATATCCTTGCAAGCTCTCAGAATTCAGTTTTTTGACAGCAACTACAGTTCCACTTCCGCTCTTCCCTGGCACTTTCTCATCGAGCCAACCTTTGAAGACTTTCCCAAATCCTCCCTCTCCGAGCAGCGTATCACTTTTGAAATTCCTAGTTGAAGCCTTCAGTTCTGCAAAACTGAAGATCCTTAAGTTTGGTGTGGGCAAGATCTGCCCAGTGGGAAAAACATCATCTCCACTAGATGCTGAGAAGTGGCTGTTCCGAGACACATTGCTCGCCCCAGAAGTCCCCGAAGACACCGTCTGGCTGGTCTGAGATGCCCCTACTGCACTTACCAAATTGTAATTGCCATCAATACATATTGAACTCAAAATGAAAAGAGTATGAAAATAAAAAAACATCAACAACTGAAGCAATTCAATGCGTATAAAGATCAAAACACAAAACCCTGATGAGAAATTGGAAACCTAATCAATATCCCATTTGAAATCTTAAAGAAAGTCAAACAAAGGGTAATAAAATATGGTGAAATACCTGCACTACTGAGCTGATCAGTAGTGTTTGCTGCAGGAACATTAGCCGGAGAAGTCCAGCAAATGCCCATCTGAAGAATTCTTCTCTTCTTTGTTGAATCTTAAAGCAGACAGCAGCAAGAAAATAGACTGCTCCTATCCAGGTTGAATTCAACTAAATAATCGAAAAACAGAAAACAATATCAAAAACTTGTTTATAATACAAATAATGATGATCTAGAGTTCTTCAACTCTCAGACTTTGATCAATCTTTCTCTTATTCAAAACTTTGAACAGGCCACAAATGCAAATGGGATTATCGTTTCTTCAACTTTGAAGACTTGAATTTCCTGTAGTCCTTCGAATTTTATATGAAAAGTCTCCGACTCTGACTCTGACTCTGGCTTTGTGATTTTACTACTATTTAACTTAACCGTGAAACAAAAAAAAAAAAAAAAAAAAAATGGAAGAAATTGAAAAATACAGCATTAATTAAAGGTATGAGTGAAGAAGACCGAGTCTTAGAAAAATTGTAAAAATAGTTTCGCGGGTAAATGAAGACTTCAGCTGCTTCGTTGTTTCCAAGTCAACTGCCGTGTCTTTGAAAATGACCATATTCCCCTTAACCCTGATACAATTGTCCAATTCTAGTTTTGGTAATTTAATTTTAAAAATATTTATAACAATTATCTTATTCAACAAACATGACCTATACTTCATGAATTATTTTTAGTAAATCAAACTGGCACACAACCAATTGGGATAAAGCTTTATATTTCTTTTCAATCCTTTATTAATTACACACCATATAAAAAAAAAAAAAAAAAATTAAATCTGACTTCTTCATCCCCAGCACAACCATTAGGAATACCCCTAATACATGATATTTACTTGTTTCTTAATGGTGTAAATTTGCTATCAAAAAGGAAGGGATTAATAGCAGATACTCTGTTTGATAGAAACAAAGTACCAATTTACAGAATGGATATTACTAGCTACAATGAAAGATTAAACTCAACTTCACATTGACAAGGGAGAGGGAATTAATTATCATATATGAACAATACTCAGCATGATTCACAAGAAAATGCCTCTCACTTTTAACAAATAAATTTATCAAAATTGGCTTACACGAGGCGGGTGCTGATAGCCATGGTTTACACCATTTCTCGCGTGAATTGGAGATCGATAAGGCAAAGGCTGTTGGCCTTGTCGCTGAGCAACAGGACGACTTGAACGATGTCTAGGTTCTCGTGGCTTTTCATTAGATGCTTCGAGCCGTTCTAGTGTCTCGAGTACTTCTTTCATTGCAGGGCGATGTTTGGGTTCAGTTTCGAGACATTTCAGAGCAAGCTGAGCAATTTGGTATGCAGCTCTAGAGGGATATTTCCCCTCCAACCTAGAGTCCATTGTGTTCCTCAACTTTCTCTTTTCAGATAAGTATGGTTTGATCCAATCAACCAAATTATGTTGCCCACCTGGACGGTTTGTATCCAACGCTCGTAGGCCAGTTAAAATCTCCACTAATACAACTCCGAAACCATACACATCGCTCTTTACATACAAGTGCCCTGTTTTTAATAAGCAGAATGTTAATGTCATTGCAAATGGCTAAAGGTAAAGATCATACCAAAATATATTCAGAAGATTACCTGTCGCAACGTACTCTGGAGCAGCATAACCATATGTGCCCATAACTCGCGTAGTGACATGAGATTGACTAGCTGAAGGACCCATTTTCGCTAAGCCAAAATCAGATATCTTGGCGGTATAGGACTGCAATAAAACAAAATACTAAGCAAGTTAATTTTTCATGTTTAATTTAATGACATCTTCTAAGAATGCTTCCTAGCAATCAAAGATTATATATGAAGTTGAAGTTTACCCCATCAAGCAGTATATTTGACGCTTTGAAATCTCTATAAATAACTTGTTTCTCGGATGTATGCAGGAAAACCAAGCCTCGAGCTGCTCCTATCGCAATCTTTAGTCTTATATCCCATGGCAATGGCTGAACAAAAGAGCCCCCTGAAAAGGAAAATATTGAGTTTGTTGAACCAGATTAAAAAATATCATAATGCTAGAAAAATTAGACATCAAATCATGGCTATTAGCACTTACTTCCAAATAGATGGTTCTCCAAGCTACCCTTCTGCATAAATTCATAAACAAGCAGTAGCTCTTTTTCTTCCCAGCAATATCCCAACAACTTTACAAGGTTAGGATGGGAAAGCCTTCCCAGGAAATTTACTTCCGACTGCACCGGTAACCAAACAACTTTTGAAATAATTAATACCGATGTGTTAATAAACTTTAAACTTCTTTATGTTTAAGAAAACTGGTGAAACAGGAAATTAATTCAGCAAATGCTTATGTGGTTATGCAGGTAACACATCAACCAAAAGTCATAGCTATTAGATTGATAAGTTCATCATTAATAATGATCTACTGGGTATACAAACTACAACAGTACTTTCCCATTTACTCTCTTTCAAATGATGCTGAATTGAAAGCACTACAAGAAAAAGCAGGAGGTGCAGGTTGATTATATGGAAACATCTTTGTCTTTACAACTGTAAGGGATAATGTGAGAAGATAATATACAATTCTTAGAAGTGGCTTATCTCTTAGTTTTCATGATATTTCTTCCCAGAAGAAGAAAGATATAAATTGAAAAAGGTAAAAGTAAAACAAAAGAAAAGGCACTTTGGAGTTTTGGACCTATTGGTGCCATTTAACTTCAAAAAGCACCATCACTTTCCACCTTTTGGGTGTTACCCATGTCATATTTTATCCAAAGAACATATCAATTTTCCACAAGATAACCAATTTTTCTATTGGCAGGTTGCCTTTATTGATTATTTTTTAGTGCAATAGAAACAAATGTTACCTAGCAGATGAATTCCACCAAGTTGCAAACATCTTTTTCAGTTCTTTTGATGATTAAAGTGAGCATGATCTTATTATTTTACATCAATCCTATCTTAGGCTATCAAGGAACAGGAGATGCACATTCAATCTCCTTTTCGGCATCTTCTTAGTTTGTTAGAAGAGTATTACTACTATCCATTATAATCTCCTGCTCACAGCTTGTGCATACATCTAATATACCAATAATATTGAACATGAATATTTAAGTTTAGTTGGGTCACCTGCCACTCTTCATATCCTTGCAAGCTCTCAGAATTCAGTTTTTTGACAGCAACTACAGTTCCACTTCCGCTCTTCCCTGGCACTTTCTCATCGAGCCAACCTTTGAAGACTTTCCCAAATCCTCCCTCTCCGAGCAGCGTATCACTTTTGAAATTCCTAGTTGAAGCCTTCAGTTCTGCAAAACTGAAGATCCTTAAGTTTGGTGTGGGCAAGATCTGCCCAGTGGGAAAAACATCATCTCCACTAGATGCTGAGAAGTGGCTGTTCCGAGACACATTGCTCGCCCCAGAAGTCCCCGAAGACACCGTCTGGCTGGTCTGAGATGCCCCTACTGCACTTACCAAATTGTAATTGCCATCAATACATATTGAACTCAAAATGAAAAGAGTATGAAAATAAAAAAACATCAACAACTGAAGCAATTCAATGCGTATAAAGATCAAAACACAAAACCCTGATGAGAAATTGGAAACCTAATCAATATCCCATTTGAAATCTTAAAGAAAGTCAAACAAAGGGTAATAAAATATGGTGAAATACCTGCACTACTGAGCTGATCAGTAGTGTTTGCTGCAGGAACATTAGCCGGAGAAGTCCAGCAAATGCCCATCTGAAGAATTCTTCTCTTCTTTGTTGAATCTTAAAGCAGACAGCAGCAAGAAAATAGACTGCTCCTATCCAGGTTGAATTCAACTAAATAATCGAAAAACAGAAAACAATATCAAAAACTTGTTTATAATACAAATAATGATGATCTAGAGTTCTTCAACTCTCAGACTTTGATCAATCTTTCTCTTATTCAAAACTTTGAACAGGCCACAAATGCAAATGGGATTATCGTTTCTTCAACTTTGAAGACTTGAATTTCCTGTAGTCCTTCGAATTTTATATGAAAAGTCTCCGACTCTGACTCTGACTCTGGCTTTGTGATTTTACTACTATTTAACTTAACCGTGAAACAAAAAAAAAAAATGGAAGAAATTGAAAAATACAGCATTAATTAAAGGTATGAGTGAAGAAGACCGAGTCTTAGAAAAATTGTAAAAATAGTTTCGCGGGTAAATGAAGACTTCAGCTGCTTCGTTGTTTCCAAGTCAACTGCCGTGTCTTTGAAAATGGCCTGTCAAAGATATAGAATAGAATGGAAAATCAAACTAAATTAATTGAAGCTAAAAGCTGGTCCAATAAATGTATGCTACATTTTGCTATTATAATCTCAACAACTTCTGCTTTTGTTTTTGCTTTTCCTTACTTCATTCCATTCACCAAACAAATGATAAGCAATTTCAGCTCCATAAATTACTGAACACAGTAATTTTTTCCTGTCAAATGTCCACTTAATTTTATAAATATATGTTAACTCGAATTCAGATTCGAATTTTAAGTCTGGATATTAGGTCCTCATAAGAATTATTGGATGATAAAAGAGTAAGAGGAAGATCTAACATGATCTCCCGATTGTTAAAAGGGGTGACCATTGGAGCTTACTCGATCGATAGTTCTAGGGTTCTGAAGAATTAATTAAGGTGTGCAGAAGCTGATCTAGACATCCTGATCATAAAAAATATATATATATGGGCACATGTTAAATGAATAACTTTGTCTCCAAAGCCAAGATTCATGCTAAAAGCTTGCATATTTATTTTATAATAATGATGCATAAAACTTAAGATAACACCTTTTCTTAGTTTTTTTTTTTTTTGCCCCCCAAATTGGACTCCCCAGCAGCTGATTTAGCAGCCCCAATTTTAATGTATTAAATTCTGGCCAATTCCAAGGCATGAATTTCAGTGGCAGAAGGAAGATGTGAAATGATTTCATTATCCAATCCAGCAAAGATAGCTTCCCTTAGTCTGTAATTTGTGCCCACATTAAAAAAACCAGAATGTACAAATCACAAGTTCCCTTTTTGGAATTATTAATGAGTCTAATATTTATAGCCTTCTATAATTCGTGGATTTGATTTCACGATTTTGAATTTCTAGACCCTTATCATGAGTTTGTGCCTCCATATTTGACCATTTCTTTCTTAAACGACCTTTTCCCACCTAAGTTTTGACTTAATGGCCCTTTCCTCCGTTAATATTTCATTCTTATCCAAAACCCATTTGGACCCATTTCAGTGGTAAAAATTCTCATTACCACCACAATTTTAACCTCCGATTTCGTCTCTATAAAATCTTTCTCATTCTAATACTTGATTTCTTGCTGATTGTCAGCAATCGTAAAACTAAAGATTTATGTTCTAAGATCATTTCTAGCCGATTTCAGTGATGATTATTCAATCGGTCATCACAAAGACTTCCATACGTCTTGACTCTAATTTTAATCTCAAATAACTCTTTTGGTTCAAACTCTGGTTAGATTCATATCATCTCTATCTAAAAGAAAATTAGACCATTACTGTAGGGGGTCTAATACATTGTAATTTCATCATAATTTCAGATGAGGTTCATCTTTCTGCATCTTTTTTACCCATATAAAACAATACCGTTACTTACAAATTACGACAAGTATGATTGAAAAGAGGATGTAATTCATATTATATATAAATTATTTAATTGAAAACTTTACAAACCAGAATAGACCTTTCAAGAGTAGAGAGAGTATTGTGTTGTCAACACCGTTAGTAACTGAGTGATCAGTTAGGACTCTTGAGTGTATTACTCAAAATATCTTAAGTTCGATTTATCTCGAGCTCTCGACCCCTAATAAGAATGACCATTATAATTTTTACTTAACGCCTAGTTCTAGAGGCTTAGACACTCCAATAAAGGAAAAAAAAAAAAAAGTGTATTGCCACCTTATTTTTCTTTTTTCTCTATGTAACACGCGGTTGTAGCTTAAATTGATTGATCATTATAAGGAGATTATTATTATTATTATTGAGATTATTTCAAATCTTGGGTCTGACCAATTAGATATTATTCAATTTGAGATTATGACCTTTTTAGTTCACTATTATTACTCTATCCTATTCAATTATCTTATCCTAAAAGCTCAAAAAATGTATTTGTTTTAATATTTTTAAAATCCAATTCTACTTTATTAAATTTTGAAAAATAATTCAATTTAACTTTTTTCAAAATACTACTCTAAAAAAACAACCAGTCAGAGAGTATACTCGGGGGATTTTGATTTTGAGTAATTCATCCAAAACATGATGACTTAAACCGTATAAAGTAAATCTCAAACTTCTTCTACCAACGAATTGAGACGTGACATATTATATATATTGATAGCTTCCCACTGGTTGTTCTTTAATAAAGCTATTAGCCATTGATTATCTTGCTTGGAAAAGCAAGAGAGTGAAAGATAAAGAACCCCTTTTGATTTGCTTAAATTGAAGTGGACAAAGACTTAACATTCGAGGAAACCTGGCACTGATTACTAACAAGAACAGAAAAAAGTGCCTGAAACAATTATATCTATCCACTCTCAGAGATCACAGTAATTTATTTCCACAAAGATGAACCTGTAAAACTCAAGACCAAGTTGATTGTTTTTTACCCTCTTTCTATTTTCGTACAAAAGTGACATGACTTGTAGCTTCATGTGAGAGAGAGAGAGAGAGAGACTATCAACAATAGAAAAGTGGAATCTACAACGAGTATGTACTCTTTTTCGAGTAAATTCTGACAACAATTCTGAAATATTAATAAGAAAATGAAATAAAAATCTTACATCATCTGAAAATGAATTCTGACTACATCATATTAACGGTTTACAATTATTATGAATGACATCTTTTTCTGCTTCTACACCTACAAATCAGGATACATTAATCTGTACAAGAATAATCTACTCTTTTCTTTTACAATACAGTTGCGTGTGGCTCTAATCAGCACCCCATCAACAACACCCTTCTATGGTTAACTTAATCAAATAGAGGAGGAAAAAATTAACTCAATTATTATCACAGCTGCAATGCTAAATCTGGTTGAGTTGAATCTACTCTGCTAGAACCAGGAGATCCTGGAGAATGAAACCTGACATTTAGGTCAGGTGGGACTGAATCTGACTTTTGTTTTGGTGACAAACCAGAATCCGGTTTCGAACGTGGTGATAACCCCTGCCAAGTCAGGCGATGATGCCCTGGTGTCGACACTGCTGATGCATCACATTCTGAATTTGGCAAAGCTCTACCATGATTTATTGTATTTGAATTATCTGCTAACTTGGAATCTTCTGAGTTCAAATAATTTGGAGTCGCTGGATGGACAAAGTTAGTATTAGTTCTAGAGACCCTATCAAGCATCTGAGATGGCTGAAAACTGAATTCACCGGACCTGGCAGCCCCAATTAGTTTCCCCATCTGAGCTGGGAGGTTAAAACCATGTGTGCAGTTAAATCCATTCATTCCGGGATGAATTGCAGGGCTCTGATGAATGGGAGGCCTTGTGTTGATTGCTCCCACACTGCTGTCCGGTACGTTAAATCCAGTATGGGAATTTGATCCAGCAACCACTTCTGATTTTTCAGTACAGGGTTCTGACGATGGATTAGCAACAAAGAGGGATGAAGAGTTGATGGCAGATGTAGGGATAGGCTTTCTTAAATGGCCGTCCGAGGGAGAGAGTGTTGGAGGTACATGCTTCCCTGAGAAATCCTGTGCTTCAGGTTTCTCCATTAATTTATCTCCTTTTGATTCAGTCATGGTAGCTGTGGTAGCAGAACAAGAATTTTCAGGAATGAAGAAGGGATGTAACGAAGACGGTAGGCCTGGAGGGATTGAAGGAAGTATTATCGGCTTCAGTGGTGTGACATCATTTTCTCCAACCCATCCGGGGCCAAACTTAATCCCCACGGGCAAACACCTTTCTATCTTTTTTGAAGCAACTCGCCAAGCAACAGGTCCAAGGTTTGCAGCAAAACAAGCTAGGCTTCTAGTATAACCATGCTCCGAATGAAGCCCTACCTGATTACATGCAAGAACAAGTCAATTCTAACCAAATTAAATGCTAGGTAAAAAATCCAATGTAAAATGGGCCACTAAAAAACAAAGAGCAGCACATGCGTGCATGGACCCACACATGGAAGTTGTGAACAGTTTATATAATTATTCTCCGAGGTTAACGTTTAAGTCCAATCTTGTTAATTTGTTGTTTTTCCTTTGCTATTGCCAGCTACGGAGAAGTGTATTCTAGGGTATTTTGTTTTGAATAGTCCAAGACCTATGTGTGGACTCAATGCACCGCAGTAATCCCTTTTCAATGAATTTAATAGAAAATCAACTAGGGTAAGATACATACAGCCATTAGCTGCTTCCTATCAACATCGAAAGTAGTGAACACAGATTGCTCCCGGCCACCAGCTGACAGATGAAATTGCAAGTATGTGTTGCGCCTGTTCTCATCAGGTACAAATTGTTTTTTTCCATACTTCATGGAATAACCCCTTGACATTGCCGCTGAAAGAAAAGATGAAAACGTCCGCCTCCTTTAGAAACTTGACATTTGTGATAAAACTGGACAACCAAAGTTTTAAGGCAGGAAAAAGACTAGCCCACACTAATGCTAAACCAGTACCTTCATCATTTCTCTCAAATTTGTTCTCAGCCAACCATCCACTGTGAATGTCATTGCGAGAACCATAAAATCGTTCAGATGATTCTGCAATCCCAGACTTGTCTGCATGATGGGGTCCTTTTCTTAAATCATGATTGGACCAGATAGTGTTTTCTGCCCCAGTAGCAAGAGTAGCATCGGTGAACTCCGAACGAGCACGCTCCAAGGGGGGCCTGCCCAGTGGCTTTTTCCACTTGCTTGGTGGTCTCCCTCTTCTTACTACTTTAGTTTCTGGTTCATTATCATCACTGTCCTGCCTTAGATTTTCAAAATTCTTTACTGCGAGTTCTTGTATGGATCGTGCCTGGAAGTCAGTACCCAATCTCAGAGAACATAAGACAGCATGAACATGGAATATTCAGAGTTTAGTTGATTTTACCTGTCGAAAGTATATGGTATCTGGTGCATTATACTGCATTGCATTGGAACATATCAAGAAAACATCTTTCTGCACGATAATTTAATCAAATGTCAATTCTCCAAAATCAGAAGTCCCGTATTCTGGCAATATGTATATATGATTTCCAAGGCATCAACAACATAAGCTAATGACCTCATACATGGCCAATCTTTTACTTATTTATTTCCAGGTTCAGTGTGAAACAATCAAAGAGTATAATTTTGAAGGCATCATGAATAAGGAAATATCCCATACAATCTTGAGCAGAAATACTTGCAGCAAGTTTTACTGTTCAAGGTAAGGATAAATGACTAAATGGTCATTCGTTTTCCTGCTAGGCAAGATACAAGACTAGCGGCTGTATTAGCCCCCTCATTCCTTCAACACCCAAACCCAAAGCACCAAGTCAGTAGATAGTAATATCATTAAATTGACAGACTAACAACTTTATCCAGAAGATCTTGAAAAGGACAAATAATTGAGCCCAAACATTTTGGAAATGAACCCAACCAGAAAGAAAGAAAAAAAAACCAGCATTATAACCATATATGACAAGGTCATGTCATCTTTCTTTTCCCCTGTTCGGTGCACACAGATCATATCAGAGATGAAGGTATGGTTCTATACATTAACCAAAAAAAGGGAAGAATACAACTGATTATTTAAGAAACAACATCTACTCTTCCTGGGTTAGATCGTGTTACCAACTCTGCAGTTCAAAGACTCTACCTCCTAACAGGATTCACAATTACCAAATGGGAGATCCAGTAACCTTGAGAAATAAATAATTTCTTTTTGACAGGAGAGAAATAGTTTTTAGACTACAGATTTTATGAAGCCATTAGCTGTCGTAATAATTCTCAAATCAATTATAAAAGAGCCGAGTCCAGTGTTGTCACTTTGTTACAGCAGTTTTTTCCATAACCAATATAGCTGATCCTCATTCTAAAATTCACAATTTTCAGAGAGTATTACCAATCAAAACTACGAATTGTCGCCATTTTTCCAAGGGCTAGGTGCCATAAGATATTTTATTAACTTAGAGAATACGTCAATACATGACTAATTAGCAATAAAACAAAGTTCAAAATACTCAAATTAATTGGGACCACTAAAACAAGACTTGCATCACTCTTAACTGCTTTTTCTACCAATTAAAAGCATCAACATTTAGTAAAGCCCTCATAAGGGGATTATTTCAACTGAATTAAACAAGAAATACATGCAGCTAATGAGCTACTAATTCTTGAAATGAACGACAAACAAAGAGGCCAACCTTACTTGCAGAATAGCATTCACAACGTCAATCTTTCGTAAAAAAGAAGCATATCTAACTTCAAGTTTGAAAACAGGTGTCTTTGTTCCATTATACAATACATTCGAAAAGAATACCAAAGAACAGACCAAATACAAACAAAAGCAGCAAAGAAGAAAACGGAATGGACGAAAATATCAGATTTCTTAAAGATACAAGCCACAGGCATGTAAACCAACCTCAAATGCTTCCAAGGTGGCATAAGCTCCATTAGATAGTTTCTTTCTAACAGTTGAAAAATCCATGGGATGCTCAATGACTTCATGGTAGTCTGGAAGCTGCATAAAACAGACATCAATGAGAAAATAATAATAATAATAATAATAATAATATATAACTGCTAAAGTAAAAGTGTCAACAAGTTAACAACATACCTCTTTTGGGTCCACTGGGTCAGAAAAGACGCCATAGGTGTCTTTCCTAAATGAATACAAGTATTTGAAAAGAAACAGAACTCAGTGAACTTGAATACAGAAGCTACAAGAAGATATCAAACAAAACGCACAGAAAACAAAATACAAACTTTTGAAGCCTATCGAGGATGAACAGTAAAAGCTTTTCATCAGGTAAAGGCGTCGAGGGTCCCGATTCCAACAAAGCCCCTGCACAAATCCACCAATAATCACATCAAAAAGTTCCAAAAAAAAATGCCTTTTTTTAGCAAATGGGCGCGTGAGATCATCGGGAAAAAGTCCAGAAAAAAGGCATTTTAAGAAAATGGGCATCATCATATATGACTATATGAGCAAACCTTGATTGTTATTGGTTGGGTTCGAACCGGAAATAGACTTCTCTCCCTGAAAATTTAAAAAAAAAAAAAAAAAAAAAAAAACCCAACAATAAATAGAAAATTAAAACAAAAAAGAAATTAATTATAAGCTAATAACAAACAAATCTTCTCCCTTACTAAAATAGCTGTGAAAAATAGAAAAAGTAAAGTGGCTTAGCATTCAAAGTTCAAGAAAGGGCAAAAAAAATAACACAGTTAACTGTGAACTAATAACTGAAAAAGAAAAGACAAAATTCAACTTTTTTTTATCAGATTTGACAGTCATATTATTATTATAACTGAAATAGTATTATTATCATATAATCTTTGTGAAAAATAAAGTCATATTAATTACTCAATCAACAACAAGAAGAAAATAAAAATCAAAAGTGCCCAAATTTCAAAAATAAAAATACAAAGTCAAACAGAAGTTTCTAGAAATTTCAAACCCGCAAATTTTCTTTCTCTCACAAAGGCCCGAACTTCAAGGTACTTTCAGAAATACCGTTAAAACATTAATTTCCTCGGGTAAAAATTTCGCGCTTTTAATTCAAAAAAAAATCCCCCAAAAACCCCCGGTAAAAATCTCATCTTTTTTTCAAATTCCCAAATAATTAACTACCTTTTCGGAATCCCCACTCCCAGATCTACCTCCGATCGCATTGATCTTCCTCTTTTTGTGATTAAGCGCACAGTTTTCGTCCGAATCGGAGGCGTTAGAATTCGAATTTTGTTCAGATTTCTGCAACTTGAGCACCAGCTTCAGCTTCTTCTCGCGCCGATTAGCTCCCAATTCTTCATCTTCGTCGTCGGACACGACTCTCTCCGGAGACGGATTCGGGTTCCGCCGCGTGGATCGACGGACCTGATTTGCAGTGGCAGAGCTGTAATTCGATGTAATTTTTTGGGTAGAGTTGTTGGGTTTGCTGTTCTGTTGCTGCTCTTCTTTGAGAGTCCTTTTCTGAAGATCTAAGAGAGAAGGTCTTCCTTTCCTCTTCTTCTTCCTTCTCTCAACTATCTTACCCATTTCGTTTCCTTTCTCTTCTCTCTCTCTCTCTCTCTCTCTCTCTCTCTGGTTTTGTTTGATGCACAAACAAACAAACAAGGTCTTATTTTTATTTTTTTAAATTAAATTAATTTTAATTAAATAAGGAATTTGGTTTATGACTTTTAGGAAGGGGGCACGGAACGGAGGTGGTGAGGCACGTGACTTTCCCACGAGTTTCCCGTGGGAATGGGACTCGTGTATTATTGGAGTCTGGAGACAAATTTGTTTTTGTCTTTTGTTTTCATTGGTCTACGTGGCATTTGGTCAACTACTTTTTTACTATTTATTCAAAACAAAATAGTGTATCCAAATAATACTAAACCAATAATATTCTCTCACAACTCTATGTGTTAGTCCATAATTAATCAATTTATAATAGATTTTACATGAGTTTTGTATGGATTTTACTAATTAATTATTACCTGATTAATTGCGAACTATTATATCAAAATTGTGCGAAAAAATTTGTGAGAAATAGTTGGTATAATCACAATAGAAGTAAAATAGGATTTTTCAAAGTATTTAATTAAATTTTAATTTGTAAAACAAATACACGTTAAATCAAGTCAACCGCTTGAACAGTCAAAAGTCAAAACTTGGACTAACTTTTTCTCTTTTAATCTTTATATCAATCAAAAATTATTTTTAATGAAAATATATACTTGAGAAATAAAATAAAAAGGTCTTAACTTTTAGGGTCCGCTTGGAAGTTTCATGGTAACGGTTATGAGGGTAAACCACTGCAGCAGTTTTGAGGGTAAACTATCGTAATGGTTTTGAAGGGTTTTTAGTAGCAGTTTTTAAAACATCCAACTTGTGTTTGGGAGTTTATTTTCTAGCGGTTTTAAAAGTTTTTTAAAATGATAAATTTATATATATGCCTATAAAAATACCCTAACTCTAACTAGTACTTTGGAGTTTTGTTTTTTCAATTGTAAGGTAAGAGTTCTTTATTTGTTTTCTACTTATTAGTATTTTATTACTTCAAATGTGATAAAGTTTTCTTATCATTCTTCGCCATTCTTTACAACATCTAGAATGATTGAAAAATTGTAACTCTACTTCTCCAAGAAACCATCTAGAAATGAGATTTTAATAATAATTTTTTTTTTTTAATGATTGCTTAAAATTGTTTTATATTTAATATGGTTGAAGACTTGCATAATGTGATTAATATATATATATATATATATATATATAATTGGGATAGTTTTATAGTGGATAGGATATTTGTGGAATAAAATTTTAAAACCAACCAAAACACCCCGATTTTGGGTGTTTTATAAACCCCACAAAAATACACTACACTGGTTATGAGGCGTTTTGAGCCAGTCAAAACCAGAGCATAAAAAATCTGGCAAGTAATGGTTTAAAAACATCTCAAAACCAGTCCAATTAAAAACCCCTCAAAACCAATGGAAAAAAAGCTCCCAATCAGACCCTTAAGAGTTATTTAATGGGATATCAGGTTATTTTTATGTTAATTTATTGTTTTTAAAACATAAATGACGTTACCAATAAGATTATAAGTTGGGCACAAATATGAACCTTTATCCCACATTTTAGATCTCAAATCTTATTGAATTTATTCTATACCATTATTGAAGTACTATGATAATATTCTTTTTAAATAGCATATAAATTAATTATAAAACATTTGAGGATTAAAAAATGATTCTAATATATGTCAACTGAATTAATCATATGTTATCAACTGTTGATGCGTGATTTTGACACTAACTAATCGACACGTGCGTAACGTTGGTTGGCCAAGAGACGCACGTGGGTACGAATAACGTGTAGAGTAAATGTAGTAATAATAGCTTTTTAAAGTGGTTCGGATGCTAAGGTAGCAAGCCCTACGTCCACTGATAGTTGTATTAGTATTGTGGGTCAGGTCGCAACAGCGGACTGACTTACAAATGATTAGGGAAAAGTAAACACAAAGATACAAGAGAGAGAGAGAGAGAGAGATAGTTCAGAGTGTAAAAAGGCCGAATCCCCTCAATGAAGGGGTCTTCCCCTTTTTATAGTGAGATGAGCGCAAGTAATCATCATTAAATCCTTGGGTTGGTGTGAATGTCAGGACAAAATCTGGCTTTATGTCACATTGCCCACCTTCCAAACTGATTTCACGCAATTTGGAGCAGGAAATGGACACGTGGGGTCTCCACAATGTCTGGCAGGCTGGCATGCGCTTACCGTTCTGACGGAAGCAGGTCACACTCCATCACGTGATTTCCCACATCAGCCCTTGATTTCCTAGGCATAACAGAAGTCCCCTATTTTTAAGGTTTGAGGATCGAACCTTGGAAACTAAGTCATGCCGCGATTGGAGGTTCTGGAGGTTCTGACAATTCCAACCTGAATGAAAGAAGCTCGGGATAGGGCCTTTTGCGAACATGACCTCACACAAACCCCGTCCAAACGACCTGACAGCCATCGCCCAAGCGTCCTGACTTCATCGGGTGTTCCTTACCGTACCTTAGGGATGGAGATGTAACGAAGCTGTTTCTGCGTTGACAGGCGCTCTGCGCGTGTTAAGCGTCTGCCAAGCGCATTCAATGCGTTGTGTGCTAACGCGTTCTTGCTTTGGCAGAACATTAATTGCATGACATGCCCGAAACGACAACTCTTATCATAATATTAACTGTGGCGTGGGGCGCATTTAATACGAAGAGAGAGGAAAGCGTTGTTTTGATTCCGAGGGGTGGTAAACGCCGGTTCATAGTCCTTATAAAAGCCCAAATTTTTCAGATGATGCCACCAGAATCTCTTTTGCCTTGAGTGAAAAATCTTTGCAAACCGGAAGCTCTTCTTTTCTGATTAGCATTTCTCCGATACCCGAAGCAAGAACCGTCCACGGTCACGCGTCCCAAAAGGTAAAGGTTTTTTTTTTTTTTTTTTTTTTTTTTTTTTTTTTTTATTAGTACAATGGCATTGGGTCATCTGATGTTTCATCAGAGACGCGACGCTGGAGTCTGGTTCGAGCTGTGAATGGCGGCTTGAGTCACTATTAGGGTTTAGGGAATTTGTTCCATGCTGCCGTATGGGGCAACGTACGATGGCTAAAATGACCTTCTGTCTGTCGGTGTTGCAGACTGCAGAATGGCACCCTCAGCATCCAGATCCGAGGAAGGAGCCGGCTCGTCTTTGCGGGATGTTCCCGTGGACGCATCCCTTGAGGTCTTCTCGGTTCTCACCCGAGAAGAGTTCGAGAGGATAAAGAGACAGTTCAACGTCCGCACGGAGGTGTTCCTCGACGTCACCCGGTCATCGCGGCATACTTCTGATGGCCTAGCTGCGATCTCCGAAGAGATCTTTAAGGGTAGGGGGATGATTCCTTTCCACCCTTTTATTAGGTCAGTCCTGGATCACTTTGGGATCGCACCAATGATGTTAACGCCAAACGCGTATGTCATCGCCGTTGCGATGTACATCGCGTGCCGCGAGAGTTGCTTGGGCGAGCTAATAGCAGTGAAGCTTGGCTGCGCGTATTTCCTTAAAAGGAGTAAGGACAAAGACTCCTGTTACTTGTCCCGGCGATCTACCATCGCCGAAGGGATACATAGCTATCCCAGCAATGCGGGAGCCTACGAGACGAAGTTCTTCTTCTTCTGCTACGATGGCAACTACCGCTTTTAGGATCTAAGTAGGTTCCTCTTCGCTAGATTCATTAACTATGCGCTTCTTTTTTCTAACGACCTGTATTCTTTTGCAGTTAACAAGTCAACCAGTCTGGACTTGCTCACCGATCCGGACAAGATCGTGTCTTTTGGGTTCTCCCTGAAGAAAGTCGGGACGCGAGGAAGCTCGTGACGACCGCGAACTTGCAGAAGTATGGTTTTTTTAGCGATAACGCGTCTTTAGAGTCCCCAGAATGTAAGTTGGACACTGATTCATTTCTGGTCATAGAATAATTTTTGTTTAGTTACTAACGTACTTGCATGCAGTGACCATGATTCCGAAAGAATCCGAGCAACCACGGCGAGTGCTATTTAACTTCCCTCGATCGAGGAGGGCCAGAACGGCAGAAGCTGCTCGCCCCACAGCGGCACAACCGGTGTGAACTGTTGCGCCTTCCCAGCCCCGTCCTGAGGAAGAAACGACCAAGACAGAACAGGTTGCTCAGCCATCGCCTGCTCGTCCAAGGCGGAAGGCTCTGGCTCAGCGGTTGAAGAAAAGGAAGCAGATTCAGATCGACGAGTCAGAGACCGAATCTGAGGGTGAACACCTGAGTTCGCGATGGGACGTCGGAAGGAGGTCAGGCAAGGAACCCGCGGACGAGATGGTTGCTGCCGACAAGGCGAAGGGCACACTAGTGCTGGATGCGCTGGGGAACCTGCCCGAATACCTGCAGCCGATAGTCTACTCTCTACTTGAGTGTGGACTATCGGAGTCATACGATGAGTTCGCCGATACAGGCGATGTTGACCTGATGACCACGTCGTTTCAACATCTAAGCAAGGTGAATGAACTGTTCTTAAAGAGTTTGTCCGCCATTTTCATTCTAACTCACTTCTTGTTCGCAGGCTCTGCTCGCCATGAGGATGTCCATGGAGAAAGCTCGGCTAGGGGCCGCGAAGGGGGAAAATGATCTGAAAGAGGAGATTGCGAAGCTCAAACAGAGCCTGGAGGATGTCGAAACGAAAAGAGCGCTGTCTGTTGAGGCAGCGAACAGATACTTGAACCAAAGGACGGTCGCTATACGTACAGTCGACTTTCAAAAGACGGAGCTTGAGCGACGCGTGGAGGAAGTAAAAGAGCTTCAGAGGACAACCGCTAGACTCTCCAAGGAGGTCGGAGAGAAGGATCAGGAGCTCCGGACGACCTTAATACGGGCTCAACGAGTAGAACAAGAAATGAAGGCCTCCGAAAAGGGAAGGCTAGCTCTTGAGGCCGAGCTCCAGGAGAGTCAGGGAAAAGTTGCTTCCCTGACTGAAGAAATGCAGAGCCAATCAGAGGAGGTCGAGGATAAGGCTGTCGACTGGGCGATCGGGTCCATCTACGCCCTGCGACCAAAGAACCTAGATCTGG